CCCTGCCCTTCCCACCCCATCCTGCCCCTGCCCCTGCCCTTCCCATCCGACCCTGCCCTTCCCACCCCGTCCTGCCCCTCCTACCACCGGGTGGATGCCCCACCTGTCAGGTAACAAAAGACAAGAAAATGACGCACTGCTTCCCTGAGAACCGCTCTCACGTTACTGGAGAGGATGAATTCTACCACATGAAACAGCATGACTCGAGGCAGCCCGCGGCATCCTGTCCCGGGTGCGGGCAGCGGGGCGGCCTCGCAGAGAAGAGGACTGCGTCGGGGGCAACGTGATAAGCGGGGTGATGTCCTGAGTGGCCCCAGCACCATCCTCCCCGCAGCTCGACAGACACGAGAGGAGTTGTTAAGATAAGCCCAAGACCGTCCTTACAGTTTGACCTTTTCTACGACTACCTTGATGACTTACCTCGGAATGTCAGACTGTCTTGTTTTCGCGGTGTCTACTGGGGATCTCCCTGCCGGTTGCCATGACAGTGACCCGGCCGGCTGGGGAGGGCTCCCGAGGCGAGGTCCGGGCCCAGGCGAGGCGGCCCCGGGGTTGTGGGGGGGAGACACTCGAGATGCATCGGGACCCGAGCTCACCTGCGAGAGCCGCCCGACAGGGGACTGGGGGCGGAGGGAGGCGAGGATGGGACACGTGACGGGGGTCCGGGCCTGGGTGCCTTCCGTGCTGCACGGGGGAAGGAGGAAAGGATGCTCTTGAAGGTTTCGGCCTTGGTGGCTGGAGGCTGCCAGGAGGGAGTTGGTTCCACCGGGAGGTTGCTGTTCGGTTCCTGAACAGGTTGAGCTGGGGATGGCCGTGAACTTCCAGGGGACAGGTCAGACGCATGGTGGCGGCGGGCGGGGCGCGGGGGGCCGGGACCCTGAGGGGCTGGAGACCCCGAAGGAGGGCAGGGGGTGAGCAGGGCCTGGGGTGGCCGTCGGGGAGAGCGGAGCTCTGAGGCAGGCCCATAACTCGCGGGGGGAAGATGGGGGCCCAGAGAGAAGGTCAGAAGGTCACCGTCGTGATGACCCGGCAGTTTGGAATTTCGAGCTGCCCCCGGGTCCCAGGGAATGCTGTGTGAACCGGAGGCGTCAGAGCGGGAAAGCCGACGTGGGGTTCTTATTTTGAGGGCAGAAATATCTTTAGTAGGAAAGCAGGGGTGGCCCAGCAGAGACCAGACTAGGTCTGGGTCTGATTTTCAATTCTGGGCCTCCACTGACTCACCTGGCGAATACTGACTCAGCACTGTTATGTTTACACACGGATCGCAGGGTCAGGGATGCAAGCACAGGCTTCCAGTGTCCGCAGACACAGCTGTGTGCTCCCCCGGGACCCCACGCTCCGCCGCCTCCACACCCTGTGGGACGTGGGACGGGCAACACAGTGGCTGCCTCTGGCTCCGAGTCAAGAGGGTGCAGTTTACAAGCCGCTACCTTGCTGAAGGGCCGTGGTCGTAAAAGTAGGCCCTTACGGCGACTCAAAATTCAGGCCTGAGACCACGCTGCACGTGCGACCTACCAGCTAATACTGTAGGACCGTCTTACGTTCCTTACAAAACCGGCTCTCATGAGACTGAACTTGCTGCCCGTTAAGGAGAAAAGGACTCGCTTGCCCCCATCACAGCAGAGACTCTGTCAGCTGCTTTCAAGGCCTGAGTGCGTCTGCCTGGAGGCAGTCGAGTTCCCTGACGGAAGGGACCCTACCGTGGTGACCCTCGCACCTGACGACTCTTTCCTCGATACGTGTAGTCAACCTGTTGGCAGGCTTCGTTTATCTCCAGTACACTCGCGATCTCTCCGTCTTCCCATCCTTGTGAATCCAGGTATTCAAGGCCACGGGAACACACCCGGCTGGTTTTAGCTGCTGCTGTGTGGACGTTTAGAGAACTGGGCACCAGAGGGAAGCCCACCTCAACCCTAAGGGCTGTTTCCCACCGCCGGTGAATGTGTGACCGCCTTTCGCAACCGTCAGACTCCGTTGTCTTTTCATGCCACAGCACCTACAGCAGCGGGAAATGCTGCCGCGGGTGGCCCCGGGCGGGGAGGGGATCTGAAATCCCCAGGCTGACACGCCGGCTGGGACGCCGCCACTTCCTAGCTTTGTGTCCCTGACAGAGTCACTAACCTTCCAAGGCCTCGTCACCCTTGTCTGTAAAATGGAGATGTCAATGCTCGCGTCCCCTCGGAGAGCAAATCAGAGGACCCTTTAAGTCCTCAGGCGATGTGAAAGGGGACGGTTTCTGTCTGGTCGGGGCCGAGAGCCACGTTTCCTTTCTCACATCGACGTGCACGCCCCGAACAACGAACCACCGCAGCCGAGTGTAACTGTCGGCGACACACGCCACCCTGCGTGTCTTCAGCCCGCGATGCTTCGCACCCCAGCAGATGCTCCTGAAGGAAGGCAAGGATTCAACCACCTCAAGCCACAGACTGGGGTGAAGCAGAATAAAATGCATCAGGAGCTGAGGTTCCACAGTGGCTTCGCTTCATACGGTAAAAAACCCACAAAAACCCTTAGCGGGCCTTACAATATGTTTTTGTTAACTCAGTTGCCTTTACCCTCTTCAATGGAAAGTAAAAAAATCCTTTTTTTCTTTCTTTCCGACATAAACAGGAACTCACTCTTGTCGGGGCACGTGGAAGGGAACCCGGAGAGAGCGGGCCACCGAGACGAGGTTCTAGAGCCCCGACGTGAAGAGCAGCTGACGTACCCCCCCCAAACGACACAAATAGTTAATTTCTCATTTGTCTCTGAAAAGCAAAACTGCCATTTTAAGGAGATGCAGGTCTACTTTTTAAGCACCCGTGACTTCTGAGGGAGGGCAGAGTTTCAAACTCACGCCCGATTCCTAGGTCAGAGCCTCACAGCCGTGTTCCCTTTGCTGTTCTCTCTCCGCGTGGACAGGTTACGAAATAAAGGCGCCTGTTCCTATCCACCAGGCTACCTTCCTCTGCTCTAAGTAAGGACTCCCAGTGAGCCAGGCCAGGGGGCACACTCGCGGGCACCACGGTTTGCGCACGCTTCTCTAGTGTCGCCTGAGTCTCACGGTTAAATACTTTCAGTTTTGAAAATGGAAGTGCAACTCTGTACTGAGGCCCGAGTGTCCTGTCAAAGGACCAAAGGCGGAGGACGCACTCGGGCTCGGCAACTGCAGACATTTCTTCAGGTGTGGAATATGCAGGAAGGATTTCTGTTGTTGTTAACCGGTTGTTAGATCTTTCTTTTTTTTTTAACTGCTCTGCTCTGAACGAGGAGAATCAGCAAAATCAAAGTGAAACTTAGAGAATAATGGCCAAGACGTGGCTTCCCACTGCTGCCAGAGACAGCGGGGTAGGCGGTGAGGGGGTCGCCTCGGCAGCCGTTCAGTTCCAAAGGTACAGAGGGTTAGTTCTGACACAATTACTAACTCACCAGAAGAAAGTGAAGCAACACGGACAAAATTAGTGTAGGACGAGCACAAACACTTACACGCCACCACACAGACCGTCTGAGCCGAGCACGGAAGGCAGCAGACTTTCAGCATTGCCTAAGTCAGGGTTCAAACAACACCTAGTGTTAGTGGCCTCTTATGAATATCTCAACGGTTCAATTTAAACAGAGGTGAAGAGATAGGAAAAACGATACGGTGAGTTTGCCCAAGTTCAAATACTACCCCCAAACCCGTATTTTATTCAAGAAACAGAAAAGGTCATTTGGTGCCATGCTTTTATTCAAATGAAAGGGGAAAAACTACACGGTACCAGGAAGTAGCAAATAGGACAGTATTTTACAGCACAGCATCGTAAAAAATCCTGTAAGCGATGCTCCGGGGTACACAGTAAGCACACCAGACACTGCGCACCGCCCGAAGTGCCCATGAAACCACAGTCAAAAAGCTGAATTCGGCTTTAAAAACAGCCAAATAAAAACGGTTAACAGTCGTTCTAAAGCAAACGGGAAAAGCCGAGAGGAATGAAAAGCTTTCCAAGGCTGTGTCACGTGGCAGAATTTGACAGGCCGCACTGGTAACCGTTACGGGTTTGTTTGGCAAACTTAACTGAATAATTGTCCTAATAATGTGACCCTCCAATGATGAGAAGCACCAATGTGTTTCAATAAGGTTGATGGATATCTCCAGACTTTATGAAATAGCGTAATTTTCATGTGTATAATTTTCAAAACATAATTTAAAAAACATCTGCAGACTTAAATATATCCATATTCTTTCCGCATGAAGAAAGTAAAACATACCGAGAGCAAGGAACTTTTGTGGCAACGTTCACATTCTACCTTTAGACACTGTGGACGTTGTTGGACACACACAAATTTGAGAATAAAGGGTGGTCCTGTCTGGTTTTACACAGTTAGTCCCTCCATTGTCTGGCAGCCAATTAAAAAAAAATTTATGGCCAAGTAGTATCACCAAGAAGATTGCTTTGATAAAGGAAATTTAATTGATTGAAAAGAACAAATTTAGTAATGTAGAACGCTCATTAATTCTCCTTTTGTCTCTATTATTTACCACATTTTGATTAGATTCACTTACTTTTTTTTTTTTTAAACTAGTCAATCTAAACATGTATTTGACAATCATTTCCTTCTCATTGTGATAGAAACGGTTGTCTGAAAGGTAACATGTGCAGTCCCCCAGTTTAAATCTCCATATATTATATACACAGTATGTATACACTTAAAATATAAGAGTTACATATATCCTGGTCTCTTACATGCAAACAGTAGATCACAAATAGTTCTGAGCTACACATATATCTTGCACAGGTACTGGAAAAAATCTGTGAAATTTTTTTTTTTTACAGTTTTAACAAATATACATAAATATAAGAACATAAATTACAGTAAAATATTGACAGCATTTGAGAAAATGTGGATAACCCAGATGCACTGATGCCTAAAGGCCTTATAATAATAGAAAAGTACAGTTCAGGGACATCTCATTCCTACTCTTTTTAAAAAATAAGTAAATACATCATATGAGATATTAGTTATTTCTCTAAACAACTCAATTAGAGAAATGTATAAATTTTAGTCTCTACTTCCCGTGAAAGAAAACAGACTACACATCTCACATACGCTACAATACTGTCTTTCCCTCTAAGTTTACACGGTTGTCACAACACTGAAACGTGACAGGGTCACAGAATCATTCAAGTCTTTTCCTGAGAATGAAGTTTTCCCCCAACTAACCCTCTGGTGTACACTGTTAAAGGAACAAAGACCACGTAGAGAAGAGTTCAAGTGTGTAGTACTTAACCTAAGCTGAGCCACTTGAAAAGGATAAAGAAGAAGAAAGACTCAACGTAAGCAAAAGAACGTGAAGCCATTTTAAAATTAAAACGTAGCCCTTTGTACACGTTTAAAAATTCTAAATATCATTTTTTATATCAGTTATAAATATAACGTAAAGACCTCTTGAGAACTCATGGCAGGAAGTCTTACATCCTCAGATTCCGAGACTCTTCTCCAAGTGTCCTTCACTTCCGCCAGCTTATAAAGTGACATGCTTTAAGAGAGATGATAGAAAGCCTTTCTGTTAAAAGAACAATCCAAGTTATTCTGAGTTGGCCAGAAGTGGTGTAAAACCAGCACTGATTTAATTAGCAACTTCTTATAACATCCTCTTGGTTAAGCTCATGTGGTTTAAGTGAACCTATAGCAGCTCTTCACAACTTCTCCTCTCATTTAATAGAGAAACATTAATACTTGAGTGAATAATAAATATGGACTTGTAAATACTTAGCAGAATAATTCTTGCAAATGCTCTAACACCATTAAAACATGAGGGTTGCTGTAAAACTAAACGCTAGTGTTTCTCTCAGCACCCTAAGAAAGACGCAAGTTACCTCTGAAGGCCTATTTCCCACTCGCGTGATCTCCACGTGAAACAAAATACAAAGGTATCTTGGAACAAACCCCCAGCAGAGAAAAACAGCAAAATAAACCATCTGGAGACAGGCATGTACGTTAAAAAGTTCTTGGGAAAAAAAAAGCAACAAACAAAACACACAATTCGTAATCTTAGCCGTATTTCAACTAGGGTCCATATGAGAACTCAGTGCTTCGACGTGTCGAATACCGAGCAGGCGAACCTCCACCTGTGAGCTGGACAGCGCGTCACCGCCTGGCCTATCACCCGTGTGGGTCCTCCTGCACTCCAAACGCTGCGGTCTACATTCCAGTTGTCATGACAACAGAGCTGGATGTCCAGTTTCAATTAATAAAAGTCTGTTGGCAATTAGAAAGGTTTTCTATAGGCAGGAAAGATGAAGTGCAAATTTAGCGTGAATGTTCTGAAGCGAGTGTTTCCCGGTTCCTACGCTTTAGTGGGCAAAAGTTTCTTGGGCGTCACTGGTCTCTTGGTCTGCCACAAATGGCTGTGAATGGTAATGGCATCAACACTGGCAGATAAAGTTTTAGCGGGGATGTGGCTGAACTGTTTCCTGTCAGAATTATATTTGTAAAGGCCCTCGATCATCTTTTTAGTGATAGATTTAGGGCCTATCCCAGTCAGCTTATTAATCTCTTCAGTCTCTGGGCAGTAAGTATACAAAGACCTGAACTGGCAGCCTGAATCCCGGAACAAGATTAGGAAGTTGTTGGCATCTGACTTCTCCATTTCCTTTAGGATAAGAAACAGAAATAAAAGCCCTTAAACATTTTGCTGGATATAACTTATATAACTGTGTTACATTTCTTGGCCAGTTTTTATGACATGTAATTTAAAATATAAGTTTCTTTGTAGCCAAAATGAGGCATATGCAATCCACGTCCAGCACACGGGGATTGAGATGTGTGCAGAGACCTTACCGCTGAGGTCCTGTTGGCTGTGCCGGAATTGTAACCCCGGAGGGACTTAAAAGGGCTGCAGGGTCTGCTAACTCTTGGTCTCGGTCAAACTGTCTCTACCACTAACGACCAGGCGCTGGCGAGCTCCTTCGCAACAGAGCTTCATTTTTAAAAAAGGCAGATCATGTTATCTACGTTTATGAAACGTGAGTGAGTGACTCCGGGCAAGAGAATAATTGATAATTTTACATTAGCATCTCAAGTCTATGCCTGGCCTTTAACAAAACCTACGGCCTTCCAGAATCCCGTTTGAAGGTAAACTCAGTCTAACAATGAACATAGTTAACAGATCTTTCATACGCTGTTGAAATTCTGGGAGTCCCCTGAAGAGCATGTCCTCCTGAGCTGAAAGAGAAGACCCCTACAGTTTTACAAAGTTGCCGAATCTAATTTTCATGCAAACGTGCTTACCTCCAGTATTTTTTTCTTCTGACCTTCATTTACTTTGCCAGCCAAACAGCAATGAGCTAAAGCATTTTGTATTATGTGCTTATTGGATTTTGCACTGGGTTCTTTGAAGAGCTTTGGTCCTATGGCAGAAGTTAATAACAGTAATAAAACAAAAACAGCATTCCTAAGTCGGAAATACGACTGTGTTTAAACGATGCGACTGTCCCTACGCTGATTAAACTCTGTAATGGAAAACAACATTCTGCGCCTGAGGGCCTCTGGCTGCTCTGCAGCGGTCAGAGCAGGTCAGAGCGCAGCTCAGAGCACTGTTGCATCCGCAGGGACACCCCTGGGGGCCTTCGCGGGCCTTGCTGTGATCGTCACACTGCCCGTTTCACCTCTTTCTCGGGTTTGGTAAGGTTATTGGTGAGCTTAACGCACAATGGGACCGCAAGTAACTTTAGCTTTTAAAAGACAAGAAAAAGCTTCATCTTTTTCTTCTTCCACACCTCTGGGGTTTTTTTCTCAGAATTTTCTTTTCACAACGATGTCTGTAAAGCACAGAAACCCTTTTTGCCACTTTGCTGGGACATTCGCGCTCGTGAAGGGCCGTGTGTTGGCAGGCTCCCTCCCCCTCACACTAACTCAGCTCTGCCCCGAAAGGCCCTCGGTAGTGTGCCGAGAAACTGGTTCTTTGGGAAAGAAAAAACATGAGCCCTGATCTTTACCTATTTCTAGAGTAAACTACTCCTACCATGGCTGACTCAGGGCCAGCAATTGTTCTGCAGCTGCATAATTCCTGGAATTTTAACAGTCAGCCCATGAGCTGGTCCGAGCAGGTCAGGTGCATGCCGCAGGCCTGCAGCTCTGGGCTCCCAGCGGTGCTGCAACACGGCCATTAAGCTGGCCTTAAAGGCCGACACGCTGCTGAAGGGGGCTGTCTTAGAAGCCATAGAACAGGCAGGGAAAGCTCACACCAAGTCAGCCAGCTTTGCCTCCTTGGGCCTTTGGGGGCCACTTCCAGGGCCACACGGATGCAGGCGGGACGCGGGCGGTCTCTGCTCCTCCGCACTTCTCCTGTCCTCCCATCTACCCCTCCAGGGCGCTCACATTTCCTCTCCTGCTTCTTTTCTTTAGTTCTTACCTTCTTTCCATTCTATGAGCTTTTCCTTCAATAACACCTCTGCAAACAGAGGCTGGAGGAGGGCCTGACGGGGACGTGCAAGGCCGGGTGCCCTCCTAGAGCCAATGCATTCCCATGTCTTTTAGAGCCTCTCAACACTTTTTCAAGACGCACTGTTCCAGATACTGAAATCCCAGCGTTAGAGGAGGGGCTCGGTGGACTCTAGCTGTTCCCAGTACTCAGGACCGATGCACTGCTGAGGGACCCTCTCTAAAACTTCTTCAAACCCAAACTACAACACAGAAACGGCCTGCATTTTTAAGGGAGAGGTAGAGGAATGAGGTGTTAAGTGGTACTGCTACCTTTTAGAAACTTACCTTAATTCTTCTGGGACAAACCATATCACTGAAACCGAAAGTGACCGCCTGCATTCACTGTTTCGGATCAGTCTTCCGTGTTTAGACCGAGAGGCAAGTCAGTGAACCTTTCTTAGCACAGCCTGCGGCTAGTCTCAGCCCCATGTTAAACTGTTTCCCTAAAAATGCACAGGCACTGACCTGTGTACTCTGTTCCAGAAGCCACAGAAGAAGTGGTCGAAGCGTTCTCCCAGTCCTTTTCGCCATTTCTACTGCCACAACGGCTTGGAGATAAGAAGCCTTCTACAGACTCTGATCTAAATAATAAATAACATTTTAATGCCTCAGATAGAGAAAAACATTTGGGGTTCAGAAGGGTATACGTGAGCACCAAACAAACTCAACCCAGAGGCTTTAAAACGAGAGGACGGTGATAACTTCGTCTCATTCACAGCTATACATCCAAGTCCTGAGAACTCAGCAGGCACTCCCTAAGTGTCTGCTGAATGACAGAATGAATGGTTTGTCCACATGACAATCGGCAATTAACGCAGTAGGGTGGTAATACAAAGATCAGAGCTCAGAGCTGATGACTGTCCCTAGAAACGCTCTTTTCTGTATATGGGCGTTATAGTATAAAATAATGAAATACTGATTTTTAGCTTCTAAGGTACATATATCCTAGAGAAAGAAAGAGACAGCGTACAAAAGAGATCTTTCCTAAGTCACGAGCAATAATTCCTTACCCTGGAATTATTCTAAAGGGGAAGAAAACTAGAGGATGGCACTATACCGATGAGGTACTTTCTGGTTTTACCATGATTATATCACAACCGTAGTGACAACGACTGGTGTACAATTACGGTTAATGTCTTATTGGTGACATAATTCTAAAATTCTGAAAGATAAAAAACTGAAAGACGAACAGACCTCTTTCCATATAAATTTCTTTTAACAGAAACCCAAACTGTCCTAGCGAGCAACACTTATCAACATCTGTGACTATGGTCCGTTCACTGGGAAATATAAAGTAACGTTTTCTATGAAAACACTTATGCTGCAACTTACCTCGGGGTCCTCCTGCCTGAATGCACGCTCTCGCTGTCGCCTGTGTTCAGTGACGCCAGAGAAAGGCTAGAGACTGAAAAGACACGATAAATTTGTGATCCTGAATAAAAACGAGATTAGAAATTCAAAAGGAACAACTGGAAAAGAGTCTGCTCATTAGGCAACACCAGCATATGAAAACGGAGCTCACGTAGTCTCTTTTCCTTTTTAGATGCATAATATGCTTGCATGCATGTACGCACAATTTGTTCAAAATTAGCAAGGAACTGCTTTTGAGGAATAATGAAATAAGTGAGGAATTAAGAGGTACAAACTTCCAGTTGGAAGATAAATGAGTCACGGGGATGAAATGTACAGGGTGGGGAACATAGTCAATAACTGTGTAATATCTTTGTACAGTGACAGGTGGTAACTAGACTAACCCTGGTGATCATTTTGAGACGTATGGAAACATCAAATGAATCACTACGTTGTGTAACAGGAACTAACACAGTGTTGTAGGTCAATTATACTTCAACAAACAAACCAACTCATAGATAAAGAGATCAGATTTGTGGTTACCAGAGGTGGGGGGAGGGAGGGGGAACTGGAAGAAGGTGGTGGAAAGGTACAACTTCCAGTTATAAGACAAACAGTCCTGGGGATGTGATGTACAGCAAGACGATTACGGTTTATAATTTATCTAACACTGCTGTGTGATATATGACACGAAAACTGCTAAGAGTAAATCCTAGGAGTTCTCATCACAAGGAACAAATATGTTTTTCTTTTCCTTTAATGTTGTATCTATACGAGATGAGATGATGGATGTTCAGTAAATTTACTGTGGTCATCATTTCAGGATGTACGTAAGTCAGACCATTATACTGTACATCTTACACTTATACAGTGCTGTATGCTAATTATATCTCAGTAAGGCTGGAAGAAAAAAAAAGAAGTAATGACAAAATTAATTGCTGTTAGGATTTATTCCAGAAACAACGTGGTAATATGAGATATAATACAGTGATTATAAGAAAAAAGTCAACAATAAGAAAAATTAACAAAGAAATTAACAAGAAGAATAAAATATATTTAGGAGTATCTAATTACCAAGTAGAAAATTAATTTATTAATTTCAGCCAATACTGGGTATCAAAAATTTTCACTGACTAGGGACTTCCCTGGTGGCGCGGTGGTTGGGAGTCCGCCTGCCGGTGCAGGGGACGCGGGTTCGGGCCCTGGTCCGGGAGGATCCCACATGCCGTGGAGCAACTGAGCCCGTGTGCCGCAACTGCTGAGCCCACACGCCTAGCGCCCGTGCTCCGATACGGCAGAGGCCACCGCAATGAGAGGCCCGCACACTGCAGCGAAGAGTGGCCCCCGCTCGCTGCAGCTGGAGAGGGCCCACGCGCAGCGACGGGGACCCAACGCAGCCAAAAATAAATAAAAAAAAAAAAAAAAAAAAAATTTTCACTGACTGGAAAAGGTAGAGTTCTCTTTATTTTTTGAATTGAAGTATAGTTAATTTACAATGTTGCGTTAGTTTCTGGTGTATAGCAAAGTGATTCAGTTATATATAATATATATATATACACATTCTTTTTCAGATTCTTTTCCATTATAAGTCTATTACAAGATACTGAATATAGTTCCCTGTGCTGTACAGTAGGTCCTTGTTGGTTCTCTATTTTATATATAGTGGTGTGTACCTGTTAATCCCAAACTCCTAATTTATCTCACCCACCCCGCCCCTTTTCCCCTTTGATAACCATAAGTTTGTTTTCTATGTCTGTGAGCATTAGAGGTCTCTTTAAACAGTCAATGTTATGTTACTTTCCTTCAGTTTTAGAATTACTCTAGGAATTCTCTAAAATTTTCCGTGGCATTTAGTTTTAATAAAGTAAACATTAACAAAATAAGAGTATGCATGTTGAATTTAGAAAAAAAAAATATTATCTCAACTCCAGAAATTATAAATTTGGATTTTTGACCATTTATATCTTAAAGGAGGGACTCGTGAACTCCTGATCTTATATTCCTGGTTATACTGACATGTTCTGTACACATTCCAGGCACACAATGCTTATCCTTAAATTTACCAGTACGGAAAGGGCAGTTAATGATCCAGGGAGCTGGCGTCTGAGGGCGAGCTCCCTGCCAGGTTAGTGTTTAAGATGGATGTTCAGCCCCTGCGTTTGCTCTGTTGGCCATATGCACGCACACATGGTACACTCAAGTCACCGGAAGCATCCTCTGCTCGTTCTGGTTCTGCACACAGGGAGTGTGCAGTTCAGCCCCGAGCACCCCACAGCCAGCGTGACTGCCCGGGCTGCTGTGGCTATGGACAGACTCCTCACAATGTACGTGTTACCTGGAGGACCTTTTACGGGTGTTTTGGGGGATTCAATGTGGTCTCTGTGGATAGACTTCGGCCGCTGCTTTTTCTGCTTTGCTCCCTGAGGCCGAGGTTTGATGACCGTGTCCATGTCTTCCATGAGCTTCAGCTGCTTGCGCCTCAGGTACTCCTGCCGGATGAACTCCCGGCGGGCTCGCTCATCTTCCTTCTTCTGACGTTCTTCCTCGGTTTTACGCCTAGGAAACAAGCGGGTACATTTCTTTGTGCACAACACTGTCAGGTGTGCGCTTACGTGAGAAGGAAGAACGATTCAGCCCCTGGGAAACTGGTTCACTTAAAATGTACTTGAGATAATCTAGGTCACTTAAATATACCATTAATAAGTACTTAAAAAATGCGTGTGTGTGTGTGTGTGTGTGTGTGTGTGTGTGTGTGTGTGTAAAACCCAGGAAAATTACTTTCAATTAATGTTTCCGGAGAACTTTAAGATGCCTCAAACTCAGGATAAAAATATGCAATCAAGTGACACTTTAGGAAAATAACTTCTAAAAAGCACCCCAAATCAGCGTTGTTTCTATATTCTGCAAAGGTCCCTAAACACCGTTAACAAGAGTCGGGGGACACCACCTCCCACGGACCCCGCGCAGCGGCCCCCACCTGGTCTCCTCTTTCTTGTGCTCCATCTCAGCTTCCAGCTGTTGCTTCCGCAGCTGGGTCTCTTTCTCCCTTCTTAGTCGTTTCTCCAACAAAGCTGCCCGTTTCATTGCCATATCATTTTCTGCTTTTTGATCATCCTAAGAGTGAATGTCATTGAGAAAGAGGAAACATCTGAGGCACCAATATCCTCATGTTCAATGCTTGTGGCCACATGGAGGGGTCACTCTTAATAACTGAAAATCCAAACTGTCTAGTGAAGCTCACTCCAACCGCACCATAGATGGACATGTTCCAAAATTATGAGGGAAGAAATGAATTAAAGTGGTAATACTTTTATCAAGTAACAAAGGACACAAACTTCTTTGATTACATGTTTTCAAAACTTAGGAAGTTAGCAAAGAACAACATAAAAAGGAAAAAAAAAGACAAAGTTTTTTTGGGCCCTGATAAATAACTGATAGAGTGGAGAGTTTCCCCACAATTTTTAAAACTGCATTTAAATTGTATTTAAATACATGCTTAATATAGAAAACTCAAGTAAAAGCATCAAAAAAATTAGCTACCCAAAGCTGTATCACATAAATGAAGCTATTGCTGCATGATTTTTTTAAAAAAGTTGAGGTCCTGACAGTTTGCTTGCTGGGTTCTGAACTATACCACAGGTTTTTCCTTTGAAGAGAAGACGAGCACACTTATACTCCTAACCCCAGAGCTAGTTCATGACCTGTAGGTGTCCTGAGCCTGCCCCAGCTTCCACCTGAACGCTCAGGGAGCTCAGAAGTCAGGAAAGTAACCAGCTGTAGAAGTGGTTCCCCGTCGTAACGATGCCTTGCTTATTAATTCAACAAGTGTTTCCTGCGTGTCTAATACATTCACAACATAGTGTCGGACGTTACAGATACTAAAATATGAAAAAGATAGGGCACCTTAGGTTAAGGAGCTTCTAGATCCCACGGGGAAGAGGTACAAACAAGGTGCTTTGCACAGAAACCCAGAGAGAGATGAACTCTGAATGGAGAAAGTCAGAAGATACCATTCAAACAGTCAGTCCAAACATTCACACGTCTGTGTCAAACAAACTACACACACTGCAATTTGCCAGGCACTTTACTATGCTCTGGGGATAAGGAGATGCAGTGTCTCTAGGAGTTCACAGTCTAAGAGAAATCGTAACAGAAGCAAATCACAAGGTAGTTGGAAGTTCTGGGTCAGCAGCATTACTATGAGGATGTTTAGGATACAAGAGACACAGAGGAGAACATATTCACATCCACCCAAGGAACCATGAAAGGCTGCAGCAAACAGATGAGGCCTGAAGTTAGTCTTACAAAACATCCCAAACAGAGTTATGGGGGGAGAGGGTGGACCAACAGGCTTGGATCAGTCTGTGAAAGGCCCCTGAATACATGCTGAGGGGTTTAAGTTTATCCAACAGGCAACTCTAAGAGACTCCATCGAGCTATGCTACCAAGTGGCAGTGTGACGAATGAGACCATGACAGAGGCAGGGAGCCCCGTGAATGAGCTATGACCACGGTCCAAGGGGGGAGTACCGGGCAGTGAAAACTGAAGTGAGGAAACGAGGGTAGAGATGGACTGTACGTTTTACACCCAAGGATGCCCCTCTGATCTCCTTTCTCTGCAGGAGCAGAGGTAGCAAGGTCTCTAAAATTAAACACATCTATTACTGTCTACAGTAGCAGCCTATTAAAAAAAAATAGTAGTTCTACACGGTTAAGAGACAAAACACAACCCACATTCAAATTTCTAAACATTAAAAAGGGCCGAGAGGGCCATCTCTCTATGACCAACTTCAAAGTAAGTTACCAGGTTCCAATATTTAATGATCCTTAGTAAAACTAGCAATTGTAACCACTTCAGTATTCGCGGGTTTTGACCCTAATAGGACTGCTGTACGTTTCATTTAAAACCCGAAATTATAAACTGTTGCCACTGAGTGCTGTCTTTCCATCTATGTTCCCAATTGCGGAGCTATTCAGGATCACAAACTATTTACTTTAGTCCCTTAACTAAAAAAAGAAACATGAGTAGCACACATATACATGTTTCTGATTATAAAAAACCCTATATTATTCCCTATAGGGAATTTGGAAAAATACAAAGATGAAAAAAGGGATGACAGGAGAAACATTTTTAAATAATATTAGCCTTTTCTGGTTCTAATATCTATGATAAATTTCAAGATCTTACCATCACGAGGTGATACTGTTCAGTATTTGTGTTAGTTGGCTGTAGTATTGTTTAAACACATGTCATATCCAACACCGATCCTGAGATCGGGGGTCATATGCTACACCTTCGCCAATGCTTCTAGAGAAGCTATTTCAATGACAACTGTTCCAATTATATACTTTTAAATGTTTCACCTTGCAAGGGTCTATCTGGTCAGTTTTCAAAAGATTTTTTAAAAAACAATACATACGAGGGAAGACGGTCAGTATTAAGAAAATAAACTAAAACAGACTTACATGCAATGCCAAGTTATGAGCTTTTTACAAAGTGGCCACTGAACATCTTTTGCAAGAGTGTGAATCACTTGGTTTTCAAAAGGCTTTGGTGAAAGTGAGAGAGAGTCAGAGGGACAAAAACAGCACGTCTAAACATGTACCACGATGTGATGAAAGGAAGGCTGTTCTAGAAACCAACGTGCCCGAACAGAACTGCAGTCCACAAGGGGCGGGCCAGAATACATTTTAGGATTAATGGCAGACCTGTAACGAGAAGGGCGGCTGCTAAAGAAGCAAGCGCGCCAACTGAAAACACCCACCAGTGAAGAGGCCTAGGGCCACGCGGGTTAGCTTTACCTTAAAGAAGAATCCACAGCATACTTTCTGGTCGTCGTCAACTTGTTCTTTATCACTTTCTCCGTCATATTTTTCAACAGATACATCAGCCTTTTCAGGGGCTTTCAAATCTGAGAGGGAGACTTCAATCAGATTAGCACTTTTAGGAGCAGCAGGTGGGAAGGCAGGTCTGCAAGGAGGCTCTGCAGGCTGACTCACGCAGTCCTCGCTCCGGGTGGGCCACGCGGTCTCCGTGGCGGGCCGCGCCAGGCCCTCGGGAGCCGCAGGGGGCGGAGCCCGCGCCTCCTCGTCCTCCGGGATGTGCCCGTGCTGCTCCCGAGGGCCCGTGGACCCCTCCCCCTCCTCCTCCCCCTCCTCGTCCTCCTTGCGTCCGGACTCCTTCGCTTCCGGCTCTCCGCCGCCCCCCAAGCACACGAAGGACCTGGTCTGAATGGGGACCTGACTCGGGGAGAACCTCCTGAGCCGAGGGAGGCTGTCCACAGAGCGAGGGGGCGTCAGCGTTCGGTGCAAGGGCGTGAGTTTCAATTCATTTGGCCTGGGAGTTCTCTGAGTTTTGACGGAGAAGGAGGCGCTCTTCCTGGCAGCGGGCTGCGGAGACGGGTGGGCAGGGCGGGGGGCTTCGGCCGGCGGCCGGTGGGGCTTCCCTGCGCGGGCCGGCCGGTGCGGAGAGGGCGGGGGCGGGGAGATGACCCAGGCCTGCTGCTCGCGCATGTGCATCAGCAGCTCCTGCTGCAGCGCCAGGCGCTGCATCTCCCGCTGCAGGACGAGCAGGGAGGCGTTGAGCCTCTCGATGGAGCGCGTGTGCTCCAGCAGCTCGCCGTCCTGCGGCGGCTCCTCCGCGGGGCCGGCCGGGCTCCACGGCCCCTCGGGGTCGCCGGGCGCGCTCGGGGACGGCGGCCACCTGCCCACGGGGCTCTCCGTGCCCTCCTTGGGGTCCGCCGGGGACCCGCTCCTCGGCCCGTTCGCCTTCTGTGGCTCCTTCTCCGGCGGCCGCTCCGCGTACACTTTCCCGTCTTCCGCGCCAGCCGCCTCCTCCCGGGGCGGGGAGGGGCCGTCCCCTTTCCTTTTCACCACGGTGAGAAAGGCCGTCCGCCCCATCTTCTGCCTCTGCTTGGTGAACGCGGCCTCCATCTTCTTCTTCTGGGCCTCGATGGCCCGCCGTTTCTCCTCCAGCTTCATCCTGAGATGCACCACCTCGGAGGCCAGCAGCTGCGTGGTGTCCCGGCCGTGCGGAAGGCCCGTGTCCTCTGGGGTCTGTGCCCAGGCCACCACGTGAGGGATGTTGAGCTCCGAGCCCTCCGGCGTGGTCTTCTGAGAACTGCTGCCGCTGCTTTTTCCGTCGGTGTGATTCAGCTTCCTGAATTTCTGTTCGGCAAAGCTGGTCATCTTCACGCCGGAACTGGAGGAGGCGCTGCTACCGGGCTGGGACTTGGTGCTGACGGTGCTGGGACAGGGACTCAAGGCCTCTCTGGGGTTGTAGTCCTGGAGGAATTTGGATGTGTCGTCCACGTCAGAGTCCAGACTCACGGTGTAGTCTCTCAGGGAAGAGTCTTCATCCATAGTTTCCGGAATGTCCTCCGAAGGGACGTGGATCCCCGTGTCCACCTCCGTGTTGTCAGTGGCGGGGCTCGAGGCGCCTTTCGTGTCCGCCATGCTCTCGGGACTGGACTGGCTGCGCGGGACGCTGCAGTTCAGGACGCCCATCTCCTGGCTGTGGAGGAAGAAGCCGTTCGCAAGCTGCTCCGGCCGAGGGGTGTGGGCAGGCTTCTCGGTGTCGTGGATTATCTGTAACGCTTCTTCGATGCTGGGGGTCCCGACCTGACTGCCGAACTCATCGAGGAGCACTCTGCCCTGCAGAGCTCCATTCGGAAGCCTGTGAGCCATGTTCTGCTTAGGACCTACTTCGTTTGTGTTTAGGGGCACGTAGGCCGCCAGGTGGCCGTGAGAGCCCACGTGAAGTTCTTCTTCAATGCTTCCTGCTCCCTCCTCCCCATTTACTGGCTTGAAGGACAGATTTTTCCTAATGTTCTTGGATACACGACTGTTGTTCAGAGTAAGTCCTTCATTACTAATAGAACGAGTGATTCCTTGGTTTGGAGTGGATCTCTGTACACTACTTTCTTTATCAAAAGAAATATCAAATGAAACGCCATGCACTGATGATCTAAAAAAAAATTAAAGAGAAAATCTTTAAATAATCCCAGAAAGGAAACAATCTGATATCACTGAACAGCAACAGTTATTTGAAATTATGCTTCCTTTCTTTCCCATTTCTCATAATCACATTGTCCTCAAGGCGAGGGTAAGGCTGTTGGGCCACCCGTCACATTTGGCCCCTTTGGTCACTGTCATCGGCCCACGTTGCCCTTTTCAAATGCTGGTACTAATTAAATTGCAATCTGGCTAACAAGGGGGTGGGGGCGGGGGATGAGCAGTTCTTGAGAACGTGAGTACCCTAAAAATAAGTCTCTGTGTACCTTTTCTCCTTGGGCCATGTCCCTATGAAGCCGTCAACATAGGACATAGAGGAAGACCTTCTTATTCCTCCTTCAAATGCATAAAAGTAAAAGTCATTGAAATCATGTAAAAAAAAATTTAACTTACAACAATTTAACAGATTTCACATAAGGTAAGTACATGTGGAGAAATAAAGATCATTTTGTTAAAAGCAAGCACAGAGAAGCAGCCCTTTTAGTGTGTCATATGTAACACTTTTTAGAAAAAAGAACTGGATACTTCTATTTACATTTATTCTCAATCATTTTCTAGTTAACCACTTAAATGGCATTTTCCTAGGCTTTTTCAAATACATTACCTGAGGCTGAAGGATGAGCTTGGGGACGTGAGTGTCTAGAAGGCAAATGAGGACGAGAGTGTGTAAGCGCAGCTCCTTCCCCACTGCAACGTAAAATACACGTCAATCAAATGTCATAAAGTGTCTAGCTCTTGCATATAAATTTTAGATACAACAGCTGAAGTCGGAAACAACACTGTCACTTCCGACTCTCCATCCTAAGTGAAAAAAAAAATAATAAGAAAACATAATATAGTGTTTAAACCAAAGAATGGCGGTGATTATACGTAGCTCTATGTATTTTATGTCTTTTAGCCCAAGAGCTTGAAACACTACTTTCACGTACAGCTCAATGTCCGTGTGAGACAAGATACGGCACATTATTTTCATTTTACAAATAGAAAGACTGAGAATTAAAGAAAGTAAAGTCGTCAACTTGCAGTATTCTGGTCGAATCTCAATCTCTAAAAGTACAGGAACGATGAATCCTTGTGAAAGAGTCTGGCACCTCCTGCTCGCGGGCAGTCTGCACGTCTTTAACACTTACATTTTTTCTGATTTAACTCCACCCTGTTCCAGTTAATGCAGCGGATCACACAGTCTACTTCTCAGTTTCTGATGACATTTGGCCACAATTTAGTTTTTCTTTTTCTACGTTTTCAGTCCACCACGGCCTACCCTGTAGCAGGTGAAACTAAGCATCCCGACCCCAATGGGCGGAGACCAAGCTGGGAGCAGGACGCCGTGACCTCTGCAGCTCTCTGCGACCACACTACCTCTTGGCTAATGCAAACTGCGAAGGTGAACAAGCAGCTAAAGGATACAAAGGTAAACCACAATGCTGCATCCTTATTATTTAATGAAAGCTTAATTCACGAGCTTTCCAGAAGCAACAACGCCCGGAGCACGTGCACACCTTCGCTGTCGCTTAGCTCCCACAGCCCCCGCCCCTGCCCCGCACATCAGTTTCCTCTCACTGGCGTCCCGGGTCGTTTCCTGGGAAACCCGGGGAGAGGACCCCACGCTGCTCCCTGTCTCTTCCGTCTCTCTCATCCCTGCTCCAGTAGCCTTTCCGCAACCTCTACCCTTCCTACATCTACAACAGGAGCATAATCCTGAAGAGATGCAAGTTCAGTTATTAAAATAGGTTCACTCTTTTCTTCTTCCCCAAGTAATGGCTAAACTGTGGTACCTTCCTACAGTTGCCTTACTTCACGCCTGCACAGAGGATTTTGATGTGGGGTGATTCCCGTACAGGTTAGTAGCCAAGCGTGTGCAGTAGCTGCTACCAATGTCTTGCTTTGCTGTCTTCTTCCTTTGGCTTTTTTTCCTCGTAAGGTCACCGTTCAGGTGCGATAACATTTGTAAATGTGGCTGCATTATTCCCAGGAAGAGCAGAAATCCTTGAATCCTTCCCCAAAAGTTCTACAATGGGAGAACTACAAATGGACCATATGGAAACTCATAGAAATGAAAGGATTACACAATGACTCTTCAAGGAAAAGGATTCAGACATCCATCTGGTTATAGGAAGTTCTTCTGCTGGGAGAAAGGAAAAAGGTAGCCACTCAGATATCTGAGAGACAGAGAAGGGATGAGTCTTCCAGAGAATCTTAAGACATTTCCCAGTGTCAGAAAGGTGGAAGATCGTCCACTCAAGTTCCTAGAAATAATCATCGTGGAATAACCTAGTCTTTAACTGGAAAGTTTCAGAGCTTTTAAAGATTTAACAGTGCAAGAGTTACGACCCAGAATACTGAGTGTTTTCTAAATTTTCACGGAAGGAAATGCCACTATCTAACCAACCCAGGAAAGCACCGAGGAAGTAGCGTGTACAAAGAAGTTTCCGACGGGATAAAACAGAGACGCTCCTAGATCAGCCACATTCTAACCTAATCCCTTTGTGGTAAATCTCAGGGGTGGTTACGAAATAGAAAACTTAGTGGAAGTAAGAAAATTTATAGGAGTCAATCAGAGGGTAAGGGGAGGAAAATGCCTTCTTAATCTGAAGGAAATACTTAGCGAGATGAGAAGTTCACAGCGCTAAGAAGCCCTACCGAAGGCAGGAAGAGTCCTGTAAGGGTTCTGTCCATGCTCATTAGCACATAGTGGAGAGAGAAACTTCTTAGATGTGAGGAGGGGGTGACAGCTTCAGTACAAGTTCATATTTCACGCAGAAAGATTCAATTTCTTACTCATAATTTTTAAAATGTATTTTTAATAGATCTGCTTGAATTTCTAAAAAAAAAAAAAAAATCCCAAAATACATCCGTTTTAAAGTAAAAATAAAAATCAGGTAAGTCAGGGAGCCCAAAGTCAATACACATTTTAGGTTCTAATAAATACGCATTAAAGGTGCTTATAGGATCTGCTGAAAGACATTTTTAAACAAATGAATGTCTCTATCACATACTTGGGTCAGAAGTCAGGATTACCCTGCTACTAAATGTTCACTTTGCTTCCAATTCAGTTCCTGATACTAAGAACTAAAGCATGAGATAAAGATTCAACAGGACAATAAATATTCCACTGTGCTCTACGAATAGCTACCGTAACCAGCAAACAAAACAGTAGGGAAAACTGCCTCAAAGATTAAAAAAATTATTAAAAAATGGGAAATTTAAAAATTTCCCCCTGGCCTAAGAGTTACCTATCGTTTAAGCATCATATAATCTCAATTATAAACAAGTTGTGCAGCAAAAGTTTAGTTTTAGGCTGATTATTTGGACCTTCGGATAATATTCCCCCACCTTTCGGTGTGATTCATAAAAGCCTATTTATGAAACATTCATTTCAGTGTAAATTTCAATTACGGTGTTGTTAAAACAGGCTTTAATAGGGTAAGTTAATTGAAACTTACTTAGTTCAAAGTCCAACTGAAACTTCAAAAACTCTAATGTAATAAGATTTTGATTTCCTGAGTGAATGGAATCGATGTTCTGGACTCTACCTTGGGGTGAAGTCAGAGCTGTCCAAGGCGTTTCTCTGGGCAGCAGTTAAGACAGGAACTGAGGGCAGATCGTCCACAGGTTCAGCTACAGGAAAGGAAAAAAACCCTCAGAATTACATAGTTAGCAGGTTTCCAACACTGCTTCAGGAATTATGAGCCACAAATAAATGTTTAAGTTGGACCACAATTTTCCTTATTACTTACAGAGAAATCTTAGCATATTTAATTTTCTCCTTAAATAATTTTCAAAAGGACAGATTTTCTTTAAACTGTTCTTGGAAGTGTTCTGGCTTAAAAAATCCACTTGACTGGGGCTTCCCTGGTGGCACAGCGGTTAAGAATCCGCCTGCCAATGCAGGGGACACAGGTTTCAGCCCTGGTCTGGGAAGATCCCACACACCAAGGAGCAACTAAGCCTGTGCACCACAACTACTGAGCCTGTGCTCTAGAGCCCGCAAGCCACAACTACTGAGCCCACGTGCCACAACTACTGAAGCCCACGCGCCCTAGAGCCTGTGCTCTGAAGCAAGAGAAGCCACTGCAATAAGAAGCCCGTGCACCGCAACAAAGAGTAGCCCCCGCTCGCCACAACTAGAGAAAGCCTGCGCGCAGCAACAAAGACCCAACGCAGCCAAAAATAAATACATGAATTTTAAAAAATCCACTTGATTAAGGCTAATTGGGAAAAAAAGGCTTAATATAAGATAAATAAATGTATTTAAAACAAAAATAAACGAGTGTCTAATTTTGCTAAAAGCTTTCACAGAACTTGTTACACATGGTCACTTTTACGTCTATGAAATAGTTGGTATTTTGGTAATCGATTAGAGACAGAATTTCATTGGTTAGTAATTAAAACCACTGGTATAGTTTACATTTTTGTAAATAACGCTCATTTATTTTTTGCTTTGGAGGCCTAATACAACAGCTGCTGAATATTTTGAATAGTGGGCTTCACAGATGAGATCACACAAAGCGACGTACATGGAAACTCTATGTTAACGGTGAAAAGCTGTACGGTATCGTTTGTGGTAACTACTGAAGACACCTGGCTTTACGCAGTGGCCTTCGGGAAGGGCCTCAGCTGCTCTCTAGGTCTGCCTCGTTACATGACAGCTCTGCCCTAAGCAGCTCGGAGGCACAACAGGTTAAACACTCATTTCCTGCATGTTTTACAGAATTTGGCCTGGGACGCAGTGGGCCAGCCGACTGAAGGCAGCTCGTTCTGCTCACCAGAGTGGAATCGCCCTCCCACGTCCCTTACCCACTGCCGCCTGAGGACGCAGTTTTCCCTCCTTCTTGATCTCTTGCTCTTCTTTAATATTTTTTGAGGGAAGGGGTGGGGATGGGGAGAAATAAGGGAAAATACAAAAATGTGGCACCAAGGAAAGCAGCTAGCTAGCTGGGAGGCACAGTAATCCCACTTCGTGCTGGGCAGGCCACTGGCAGCAGGAAGAACCCAGAGTTATGACGGGGGCAGGTTCTCTAGTGGGCCCACACTTATCATGTGGAATTGATTTTCCCCTACAGAAATAAAACTCTGGTCTTATAATGGAAGCTGATGGAAAGTTTGTTCTGCTTTAGAGAAAATACAGAAAGATTTTCTTTTCTTCATTTCCAGAGATCTTTACAGTAACTTACCCCTTTATTTCTTACCAGTGTCCTTATTGTGAGCAATCAATAGATCGCGGTACTCTAACAATCACAAAACCTACGAGGGTTAAAAATAAATATAACAAGCCCTTTATGGCTTAAGGGCAAGTCCAAATTACAGATTAAAGCCAAGCCGTAATTTGAGTGGCTTCTGGGCAACAGTGTTAAAAACTCAGACTCTAACAGGGAACAAAAAGCTAGGGATGGGGGTAAAAGATGCAAAGAGAGGAAAGTGGGAAAACAGTTAAAGCTAAAAGTTCCACAGCATAAGCCGTGGAATGCAGGGCTATTCTCGCCATCCCCTTTTCCTCCCCTACACCATGTCTGTCACAGAGAATTTAGTGGCTTTAAACGTTGAGAGAGAATTTATCAAGGCTAGACTGGGAAACAGCAACAGGCTTCCCTGTAAAAGAATAACCGGGTGAGGCTATCTGAACGCTCCATCCTGCTTGTCTACGGGAACACTGATCACCTCCTTGCGGACGAGCATCGCGGGGCTGGACGAAGGAGGGCTTCACGACCTCAAACCACCAGAAGAGCTCCGCCATGAACACCAGGTAGTTACTCTGTGCGAGAGGCAAGAAGTTAGGAGAGAAAGCAGGTAACGCCCGACCAGAAAGCAATGACAGAGAGTTACCTATTAAAACACAGCTCGAAATAGCATTCACCCATCAAAATCTGTGATTTTTTTTTTTTTTTAAAGAAATGATAAAGCTTATAATCCCTAAGGCTGTGCTGTGGGTTACCTTCTCAGAAGCTTTCCATTCTCAGTTATATTTCTTTCTCCTATACGTTTATTCTTCTCCTCAGCTGAGTCCTTCCTGCTTGGCTCTTACACGTGCTCAAACCTCTGCCAAAGAACGCGGCCGAAACCCGCACGCGATCCTTCACCCTCCGGCTTGCGTCCACCCGGCCTGCTTATCGCTTCGGACTTCTGTAACACCGGCCTCTCCCAACAACCTGCTCTCAGCCCTCCTCTCCCTAATCCACTCCAGTGTGGCACTCAGGCGCCCTCGCTCTAAGCCAGCATTTGCTCAGGTCACCAATGTCTGTGTCACTAAACGAAACAGATGTTTTCGTCTTCGTTGCCCCCAAGCCCTCAGCAGCATTCGATACCCCCGATGTCTGAAAACTGCCGCCCACACCCACCAGCTATCGAACGGCCCCCAAAGGCACGACTGCACTTGCACACGCACTTTGTTTCTCTCACCGTGCCAGTCGTCTTCCCCACAAGTCTGATCAGATCCCATCCTTATTTCCCTGAATGGCAGCCACCTTCCCGGTGCACAAAGCAAACCTGGGAGTCACCGCGACACCGGCCTCTTTCTCCCCTCACAGCCGATTCACCGCCGAGGCCTGCAGGTTCTGCGCCTCAACAGCCCTGGAACCCACCCACTTCTCTCCACCTGCATCGTCATTACCCTCACTCAAACTGCTCCGCACACGGCCATTCCTTCTTCGGCTTATGAAGCCAAGCTGTTCAAAATGCAACACCCCTTCCCCCACTTGCCCTTGCCCCTGGGAGACTGACTACAGCTTACAGGCGGGTACCTGATTGGGTCCCTTTTCAGTCTCCCCAGCTTCATCTAATACCATATTCTCCAGGGTTCCTCATCTTACCCATCAGACTACATGGTCAAAAGGACAAAGCTATGCTCACCACTACATCTTCAGTGTTTAAGACAGTGCCTGGTACATAATAGATGTCCAATAAATATGTACTGAATGAACATATAAATGAACGGACAAACATATTATAGGAAAGGCCAGTCACTGGCAAAGCATCGAAATGCTGATACGGAGTATCTCTGGGTAGTACGATGATCGTGACTTATAGTTTTTCTTTATACTTATCCCATAGTATACTTTCTAAAACCAAAGTATAAAATTATATCTAAAGCATTGGTGCTCGGTTCCAGCTCTACTAGTACAGTTCACTGAAAGCTATGTATATCTTTTGGAAAAACACTGTTTAAGTACCCCATAATTGTCTGTTGATAGGAAATTAATTACTATCTTAAGGACCCTGGAGCTCAACATCACTAGTCATCAGGGAAACGCAAATCAAAACCACAAGGAGGTACCAGCTCACACCTGTCAGAATGGCCATCGTCAAAAAGATAAGCAATAACAAGCGCTGACGAGGGTGTGGAGAAAAGGGAACCCTTGTGCGTTGTTGGTGGGGATGTAAAATGGTGCAGCCACTATGGAAAACAGTATGGAGGTTCCTCAAAAAATTAAAAACAGAACCACCATATGATCCAGCAATCCTATCTGGGTACATAAGCAAAGAAAATGAAAACAGATCTCTTGAAGAGATATCTGCACTTCCACGTTCACTGCAGCCAAGACATGGAAACGACCCTAGTGTCCACCAGCAGGTGAATGGATGAAGACGTGGTGTACGTGCAGCCACGAGGAACCAGGGAAGTCTGCCATTTGCAACCACACAGACGGATCTCGAGGGCACTGTGTGAAGTGAAATAAGTCAGACGGAGAAACACAGACACTGTACGGCATCACTTGTACGTGGAATCTGAAAAAGCCAGACCCACAGAAACAGAGAACATAGTGGTGGTTCCCAGGGACTGGGGTAGGGGAAATGCGGGAGTACTGGTCAAGGGTGCAAACTCCCAATTATAAAATGAATACGTTCTGGGGATCAAATAATTATAGTTAATGATAACTGTATTATACCCATGAGAATTGCTGAAAGAGTAGATCTTAAATGTTCACAACAAAAATGGTAATTATGTGACGTGATGAGGGTGCTGACTGATACTATGGTGATAATCATTCTGCTGTATATAAGTGAATCAAATCAACACGCTGTACGCCTTAAACTTATACGATGTTATATGTCAATTATGGAAAAAATTTATTTTAAGCACCTTGGTGAGATAACTGTCCTAATAACATAATTGTACTGTGTCTGGCCACTAGATGTCAGCATAGTAAGAAATAATTTTCCCAGTAACTAGCTTACGAAGAGAATGTCCTTCTGAATTTACGATGATTAAACAGCAATAAATCTGTCACCATGTTCCTGGAATGGTACCAGACTAATTTCATTTAAGAGCTCTTCTTTCCTTCTTTCAGGTAAGACAGTCATGCAGCTCTACATTAACGTTCTTAAACACTGTAAATGATATCAAAGAATACAAACATACGGAACATAGAATAAAAAGTAAAAGTATGCTTTAACTCCTCTCCCTCAAATCCTAATACTGCAGTCAGAAGAAACCACTGTTAACAGGTCCGTGTTCATCTCTCTACAGACCTTTTCCCACGCCTCTGTGTGTGTGTATATGTGCATACAAACAGAAAAAGGATTTTTAAAATATATGTAAATTGCATCATGCCGTATGTAATGTGTGCTCCCCGCACGCTTCCCTGAGTAACTCCTAGCGAGCTTTCCGCACCAGTAAGATACCCCTGCCTCCTTCAAACAGCTCCTTGACAAGACGCTTCAAGTGTGGCCCTCCCAAGGTGAACTGCCGCCAACTCTTCACCACCACGAACAATCCTTATACGTCCTTCTGTGCACTTTAAATGTGGTTAGAGAACGCCCACCTGCCCTCTAAAAAGAGCACACCAGTTTACAAGTCCGCCACGAGGGGAAGAGAGGGCTCACTCCCTATTCCCCACAGACAGTTGTTACTCAAGTTAACAAATGACACGGTGGCCAGCACCATGGACCGAGCAACCTCTTGCGGGCTTAGAGCCTTAAAATACTCATTTGAGGTCAAAACTGTGGTTCTAATAATTTAGCAGAGAGCACAGAAAGTGACCAAAGTCTTCTCTGCAGATAAGTATCTATTTTTCAAGTGCCTGATTGAAGAAAATGTCTTTGTATCCGGATCATGCCCAGACTAAGTTGATCTAAACATCAGGGATATATGTTATTTATTGGAAGTCCAAGGTATACAACTTAAGCAAATGTAACCTTACAACTCAATGTATTTAGTGAGGTCATTTTTTTTCTTTGAGACCTCAGTAAAAGTATTTAAAATTTTTAATAGGAAGCGCCAGAAAAAGTATTAAGATAAATATGAAAATATCTCCTAACTTCCATTTTGGTAAAAATGGCGAAGTGTAAACATTCAAAATCAGTCCAGGTTCTTCTCGTGATGTGCTGGACAGTGGGGAGTGAGCGCTATTCTGGTCAACAGGGGCAGTGGCTTATTCTGGAAACGCCGTTGCCCCTGGCTCCGTCAATCTGCCTCGCGGTAACCGAGAAACGGGTACAGGAAAAAGAGAGAGACCGGAGAACAAGAATTTAAAGCATCACAAGGCACTAGCATTACGCTGGGAGGGGTCCTTTAGCAGCTTCTATGAAGGTGGGCATCGCAGGTACAATTAGGACTGGCATAAAGCTGTTCCCCTCAGACTTCAAACAAATCGATTGTAAGATCATTTATTCCTAAAGCCTTTAAACAGAAGTGTTAACTTCAGGCAGGTGTACGAGAGCCGTGAAGGAATTCTGCAGCTGCAGCTGCCGGTAACAACAAGGGCAGCGTTCCCACCATGAAGTTCTGGAACCTGTAGCTCAGAAGCCATCGCGCCTTAGACACGCGTCTGTCTTCACCACTAGAAAGAACGCCCTAAAAGGACGGGGGGGGGGGGGGGGGTCTTTGTGTTGTCTGCTGAGTTATCCCAACCACCTAGAACACTATGAGGCGCTCAATAAACATTTCTTGAAAGAAAGGCACTAAGCAACGGCCCCGAAGCTAAGAGGTCGTGTGACGTCCTGAAGCAAGGGACAAGTGTATGGCTAATAAATGCGATGACTTCCTAAAAGGTTCATTTCCAGATAACTGTAATATTTCCTTCCCTCTTCCTTTTCCCAAGGCTTTGCCTCAAGTTCTGGGACCTGAGGGCCCCTTCTTCCCAGACAGAGTCCACAGTCCTGCTGAGTGTCCCGAGCGGCCACACCTCCCGCACGCTCCCCGCAAGCGGCAGCAGCCCTCCAGGACCCAGAAACGCTTACTGGCTCGTCCTCTATTTTGCTAACAACATCAGAACAACGGTTTAATTCTGTACTATGACACTAAGTTTAGCTTTGCGCTACAAAAGAAACCTGTAGCTGACAGTGTGGGTTTTTAAGAAATAGGAAATAAAATAAAATCAGCAGAAAAATCGAACAAAAACGATTTTTCCAAGAGTTCTTTTGCCTGAAATTACAGTTAATTTTGTAAGCTTAAAGCAGCTATACTGTTTATGTACCCGGTTATATGTTTTTTCAGCAAACCTGAACAAACCAAGGGGAAGAGGACGGTTGAAATACCTTTATGGAGGAAGCGGCGTACAGCATGTCTTCCAGGGCGAAATGGCAACACTGGTTCAAATACTCTTGGCAAAATTCTTGAATCAGCTGCAGATTATAGAGGCTGTCAGCCAATGACATGGTTTCTTTCAGGCAAATATCTTCAAACAGGAAAAGAGCCAGGGTTAATTCTGATAATGTACATTTCATGTTCATTTTGTAATTATTACCTTAATACGGACACACAACTACGTAGAATCTGTCTGACCCACACATGTAACGGCAGTGATCACTACACAGAGGCTTAGAGGCCAAGCACTCCTTCGCTCAACTACTTCCTAGAATTATACGTAAATGTTCTTCTTAAAAGAAGCCGTCATTACTTATTAAATTTACTGTCTTAAATACTTCTTACCATCTATCCGCAGTTTCGAGACATTTCAGTGGAACACTTACCTTCTAATCTGACGACACCAGGACAGTAAAAATGAATAAGGGCAGCTAACGCACAGCCATCCGAGCCGTCTTTCAACAAATTTTCTACCAACGGAATGCAAGGCAGTTGCTTAAGCAATGTCTGCTCTTTCCTGTAACGAGCCTACGTTAAAAAAAAAAAAAAAAAAAAGAAAGAGGTGAAAATGAATAAGTACTAAGCAACATACAGGAAAAAGACAGTATTGTAGATTCCAATGTGTCAGTAATAAAATATAACTCAAGAGAAATGAGAACTACTCACCAACATCCTTCTTTTCTAAACATTACCACTAGACCTCACTTTACCAACAGCACTTTGGTTCTGAAGCCAAGTACTTAACGTAACATTACAGCGCTCATTTACGTGAAATTCACTTAGCCTAAGAATTTACATGTAAAAGCGTCACGAAATGGGTTTTGAGCGTTTGTTATCCGACTCATCAGTTCTGCTCTTTCGCAGATTATGAAATGCATTCACTTTAAGGTTAGACTTCACGTAGACCACACGTTCTTACGTGGAAAGAGTGAGACTCGAGCTGAAAGAATGAGGAGAGGCATCAGAGTTGGGAGAGTGGGCAGAAGAAGGTGAAACCATTCTTAAAGGAAATGTGGCGAGAAGAAACATCGCTTTGAGGAACTGGAATAATATTCAATACCATGAAGATATTCTGGCTCCTCATCTGAATGCTGAGACAGTGCAAATAAAGCACCCTCTGACTTTGCAACTGAAAAACACCCTCCTGGTTGAGGTTGCATTAACCAATAACAGAGCAAGTACGAGGGTTTCTGCTCCCTCGCAGAAAAACAGATGAAATTCTTGTTTCCTAAAGATTGGCTGGCGTGAGTGGATACAAACGTGTAAGGCGGTTCTCTAGAAATGAGACATGCCGTAGAACTCGTAGAGGTTACGAGAACGAGCTCTTAAGCCAGATTTACCTAGGCTCAAGTCCTGGTTCTGCCACTTCTTAGCTCTGTGATCTTGGACAAGGTACTTCAGTGCTCATTTCTCGCTTTCCCCATCTGTGAACTGGGGACAATCACAGTCCCTACTTCACAGCAGCACGGAAGATTACAGAAGATGATGGACAGAAAGTGCGATGCACACACGGGCACACAGCGGGTAATCGCCAGTGGTCAGCTGCTACTAGCTATTAGCTCTCCTCAGGCCAAGAAGAGTAATGCCGAAGGCTTAATGAAGATGCACACTGAAGTACTTTCTTAGCAAACTTTACAATTATAGTGGTTACTGATATTTAAATAGAGTTTTTTTTTAAGTAATCAAAACTAATTTTTCTTCTAACTCCATCTAACCTGATTATATTTCATAATTAAAATACAATTACGAAATATAATACTTTCGTGAGAATAACAGAAAAATATTATAATTTACTGAAAGAGAAAATTTACTGTTTGGTGGTGAGGTCAGATTTCCTCTAAATGATATCCCTCAGGAGAGCACACACGTTCAAGGAGACATTTATCCCTATTTCCCTGTCACTGGCTACTCAAGAGCAAGGGTCATGGAACATCTCTTCCTCCGAAGATTTTCAGAGGAGCTTGTTCTTATGAATCAGTGGGGACTAGACATCTGTGTTTAATGGTATGTTCCAAACTCATAGACTACCTATATTCAGAAAAAAAAATCACACAGATACACTACATAAATTCTTTAATTGATTACTGACTTTTACATAATCTTTAGAAAACGTCCTCATTTTGCTGCTGGCAGACGGTTTAAAAATCAGCCATGAAGAAAGAGGAGAGAGGAGGGGAGGAAGGGGGGAGAGAGAAAGAAATCAGCCGGTGGCCTCTTCCGGCCTTACGCTGCTGCCCCTCACACTTGGTAGTAAGCACCCTTCCAGGTCCTCTTGGGCCGGCTAGAAACAAAAGAGTCACCTCTTGGGAATCCCCCACATGGGCTGGGCTCAGGGCCAAACTTCCCAGATCTCCAGGTCTACCCTTGTTTTCGGCCCACGGTCTGAACTGGACTGAGCTGAGTGCCCAGAGTCGTGGAACAAAGAACTGAACTGTGTGCTGTGTTGTACCGCACCCTGCACAAGGCACACACAGACACACACGCACAGAGCTTCATAAGGCTGCAGCCACAGAGGCCCACGGCTTAGACCAATCAGAGGTTTATACGTGGCATGCCGAAACATCTTCCTGAAGATTATATCCTAGGAGAGGCATCAGGTAAACCAACTTCTAATACTGAAGTCACGTGGGACTCCCTGGAAGTTCATCTGCAATTCACAAAGGTTACAGAGTCTTTTATACTTGAACATGCTCTATGCCTTACAGACTTACTGCTCTTTCTACAAATGGAGAAATCTGGCATTTAAAAGGGACATACTTTCTATCTTTCAACATTATGGTGCACTTCTAAGTTACATTTCTGTTTCTGAGGGTGTAAAATACTTAAGTGGTCTAACCCCCAGATGTCACCGTGAAAGATCAACTCTTCAAGTCAAACCAGAATTGAATCTAGCTCAGGTCCAGTGCTGGGAGGGACACAGAACCTGTCACTTCTTTATTACACAAAAAGTATCCTCTACAGTTCAGGCCAAAAGGAAATGATCCTTTCAAAAAGATGACTTTACAATACAAATAATTTACACGTGCAATTCATATTCACTTTTACTAACATTATTAAAACTAATGCAAATCTATATCCATACTTTTTTTGTTACCTAGTTACTGATGGTCTGTGAATGCTGACAGACTAGCTTACACTTTAAATTATTTTTAAAGCTTCTAATCCAAAATTTCACTAGATTTTAAAAATCTTTCTGTTTCACATTATGATCAGAAACACCTTAAAATCCAATCTCTACTTGTGACTAACAGAATTATACGTAATGACCATATCGGCAAGACATAAACGATACCATTCTACAATTACACTTCTGGAGAGCAAGTTGAAGAAGATGTGCAAACTTACTGGAACCAATTTCCAAAACCATTTGGAAGGAGACTTCAGAGGAAGCAGCAGGAAAAAAGGGGAAGCAAAAGGTAAAGGGAAAATTCATCATAAGTTTTTAAAATTAACAAGTTATAGTAAAGTTTCCGTTAGTGGAGTTCCAAGTATATAGTTCTCAAAACATTTTTTAAATGTTAACACTTTACAATTTAGCTTAAACTATAGAGGTTCCTAACGATAAAGACCACCACCTTCCCTCCCCTCTCTCCTCTCCCAACATGGATGTGCGTTTTTAGGGTACCCAGGACATGCTGTGTACTTCGGCAGCAAAGAATTTTACCTCCCAGTTCTGGGATCACACATCACGTTAGAAACTAAATTTATATCACAAGAGGGAGTAGAGAGATTCTAGGGCTGGACTTGCAATCATTAAAATTCTTAGACATTAGGAGGCCAAGTCTGATAAGGTAGACTTCTTCCCAGAAGGAAAAGAAGAAAGACTGTTTCATAAGTGCATGAATAAAAGCAAATAACAATGTAGAATTGAACACAATGATCATTTCTTTTAATGACATAAAGAATTTCTTTCAATTAATGGGGGATAAAAAAACCAGTTGGCAATTCTCACCAGTTAGTATTTTTATAGAGTCTCTAAGGCAAGTAGCTACTAACACAAAGAGAACGTACATGTTATTAATTTTACTATCTAGGGGTGTTCCAAAGAATATAATTTTATGTCTTTAAGAAGATGAATATACAATAAGCCCATAATTTCAGATAATATGAGCATAATTTGTAACTGTTTATCTTGGTATTTCCTAGCACAGTTTTCTGGCAGCCCTAAATAAATATTTGTTGAAGTGAACCAAACTAAATGGGGTCTGAGTTAAAATTCATATTCAACTTCTATGCAGAAAGTTTTTCCTACAGAAATTAATAGCACAAATAACATTATTTGGAAAAATAATATAAATGAGGTATTTTCAAGAACTTCAAAAATCAGAAAAATGTCATCTCAAGAATCAGAAAAATACCAGCTTCCCACAAAGAGATAATATTTCCAATAATTTTTTCTTATTGCATCAGGAAGAATAACCCTAATAATTTTTTTGCATGTATTTGAATCTCTCGTTTAACCAAAAGTTTTTGGCAGCCGCAGGTATAATAGCCATAAAAAGTGCCCGAGCAGGACCAAAGAGCAGGAAGCCCCTGTGAACGCGTCAGGATTCCCAGTGAATAACAGAATTTTCAAAAACAGGAGTTTTCTTGCTTTTGAGACTAGAAGAATCCATAACACAGAAACTGATGATAATAAGAAATTACTATGGATTGTACAAAACAGGAGATAAGCAAAGGAGTCTCTCGTGGTTCAAATGAGTCTGCATTTCTTGCAAAATATTCAATACTTGACCTTTTTACTAATTCAGACAACTCTGAAAGAGCTCCCAGTGGCTGCAGCTGGAAAAACTGAACAACAAGTCAATAGCACAGACTGGATCGTAACCCAAACTATACAACACATACATACACAGGAGCCCATAACAATACAAATGAACACAGACTGGATTGCAACACCAAGTACAGAGCACACACACACCAATGCACATTGATAGAAATAAACGGCTGAAGGACATAAATAAATGGAGAAAGTGCGAATCTCACTTACAGAATTCCAGATGGTGTGTACACTCTTCCCTTCAGGGAGGGAGCTTAACCTCCCTCTCCTGGGACATGGGGTGGATTTAGCGACCCACTTCCAAAGAAAAGAGCATCAGAGGGGGAAACAGAAACTCTACAATGAAGGAGACCACTTTCAGCAAGTGGTCAAGGTGGACACCATCAGTGACAGATCGTGTTCATGCCACGTGCTCCCTGATGTGGCGTGATGAGACGTGAAGCCACTTCTGTGGCGTTCTTCTCAAAAGGCCCACAGGCCCAACCTCATCACAGGACACAGGAGACAAACCCCAGTTCAGGGACACTGGTAAAACAGCTGGTCAGTACACAAACTGGTGTAATGTAAATAAAGTCTGTAGTTTAGTCAATGATAATGCACCAATGCTATTTTCTTGGTGTTGCCAAATAGGCCACGATTACGTAAGATGTTAACATTGGGGGAAACTGGATGAAGCTGTACTATCTTTGGAACTTCTCTGTAAATCTAAAATTATTCCACAACAAAGTTGATTTCAAAAATAAATGCACACGAAATTACGTGAAGGTGGTCAAAAGGCACAAACAGTTACAAGATAATAAGTACTAGGGATGTGATGTGCAGCGTTCTGTCAACACTGCTGCATGTTATACAGGAAAGCCGCTAAGCGGGTAAATCCCAAGGGTTCTCATCACAAGGAACAGATAGGTTTTTCTATTCCTTTATGCTGTATCTATACGAGAGGATGAATGTTCACTGAATCTATTGTGGTCACCACGTATGTAAGTCAAATCATTATGGCGCACACCCTAAATTTACACAGGGCTGTATGTCAATTAGATCTCAATAAAACTGGGAATGAACGAATCAATGAACAAATGAATAATGATGGACAGAAACAGATTATAACCCATCAAATAAAATAAGAATCCATCAGTTCATACAGATAATAAAGAGAGGATAGGCAGATTGATAAATAGATGAGGTCAAATTTGCTTATAATAGAATCCTAACTAATAAACGTAGAAGAAATGATAAAGTTAGAGAACTGCCATTTTGTAACCACCATAGTAAAAAGTAACTGAAGTAGGTATCGTCAATAAATGCTAAGTCTAGGAGGTGGGGAAACACTGAAGAGGAACAGAATATTTACAGTCTCAAAGTACCCTCCTCTCAAATTACTTATTACGAAAGGAAAAATAATCATCACGCAGTCAAAAACCCAAACAACATCTTAACCAACTGATCAAAATTAGTACCACCTAGTAGGGGCAAGTGGATATCACACGCCTCTGGACACAATACTGGGAAAAGGACACACTTTACATAGTATTCTAGGCTAAAAAAAAGCACAACTTAATCTAACAATGAGGAAATATCAGAAGAACTGAAATTGAGGGATATTCTATGAAAATGACCTGTACTCTTAAAAAATGTCAAGGTCACGAATGAAAAAGAAAAGCTGAGGACTGTTCCAGTTTAAAGAAGATGAGAGATACAACAGCTAAATACCTTACCTGACCCTGGACTAGAAAAATATATAAAGTTCAATTGGGATGACTGACAAAACTAGAGCATAGGCTGTAAGTCTGATCAAAGCACTTTATTGACATTGTTACCTATCCTGTGGTCATGTAAATGAATAGCTTTCTTCCTAGGACATATACATTAAAATATTTAGGGGTGAAGGGGTATGATACATGCAAACTTCCTTCAAATGTTTCAGAAAAATGTACACATATATACGTCTGTGTGTGCAACATGTAATGCACAGAGCACACAAAATGTTACACTGATGAATATGGGGAAAGGACATGTAAGGGTTCTTTGAACTATTCTTGCAACTTTTTGTTAAATCAGAAATATTTCAAAATAAATGTTCTTAACAAGTTATATTAAATCCATACCAATCCAAATCTTTGTAGGGTCTTGTATCCAAATGCACAAGACTACTGATCTATAAAGCTGCTGAAGAAATCTAATTTTCATAGTACTCAGGCAAAGATTAAAATCACGGTACTAGGATATCTAACTAATGTGTAAGTTTCTTCAGACCAAATCATCTTTATAAAACATTGCTTGGAGAAAAAAAAGTTATGGTACCATCTCTGAATTTTAAAAATGTTTAAATATATACATAAATGTGAAAGTTTATAAGGAAGAATTTTGTTTTTACAAGAATGTAAATCAAGAATAAAATGATTATATTTCTAGCCAAACCAAATAGTTCAAATGCCCAAAATCCCACTGTTGGGTAACAAAGCAAGGCTTCATCACCTACTCTGTGCTTGGCAGTGTGCTCTTCATGAGGACCCCTGTACTTCACAGACTATGTGAAATGAACACTTACCTTCACAAAGATTTTCACAGTGAGAAAAAGGATAAAATTCATTTGTAAATGAAGGTATTGAATCTAAAACATGGCACAGATGAACTTATCTACGAAACAGAAAGAGACTCACAGACACAGAGAACAGACTTGTGGTTGCCAAGGGGGAGGGGAGATGGGGGAGGGATGGAGTGGGAGTTTGCAATTAGCAGATGCAAACTATTGCATATAGGACGGGTGAACAACAAGGTCGTACTGTACAGCACCGGGAACTATATTCAATATCCTGGGATAAACCGTATGGAAAAGAGTATGAATAAGAATGTATATATGTGTATAACTGAGTCACTCTGCTGGACAGCAGAAATTAACACAACATTTTGTAAATCAACTAGACTTCAATAAAAAAGTAAATGAAAACAAATAATAAAAGAGGAAAAAAAAGCAAATGAAGGTATAAATGCTATGCTTGTGCTCAAGTAAAAATGTGTACTGACCCAAATATTTAAGTGAAGGCCACTCATTCATTCATTTACTCAATCACTCACTCAGCAAATACTGGCTGTGAGGTCAGTATGTACAATTCCGTGGGCCAAGTGCCGTGAAAAAGTCAGAGTGACGTGATCCAGTAGTGTCCGGATACCACAGTTTGCTTTTCTTAAAGGTCACTTAATCTGCAGTTGTTTGGAACACAAATAGCATTTTTTTCCATAGAAACAAGGTTTACTGGATCCTGTGTCAGCATATAAAATCCCCATTTGGTTCATAATGTGTATGCAAAGCTACAGAACTCAATCATATATATAATAAACGAGGTTTCCATGGAAATCCTGTAACACAGGATGATGCTGAACCTTATTCCTGATTAGAGCCAGGAGCAAAATGGGGGGTGAGGGGGGCAGGATTAAATCCATCTCCAGGGCAAGGATTTCTACTACTAAAGGGAGGGAAAGAGCAAGGGGGGAAACTGGAGAGGGCTGGGGGACTCGAGGGACAAGGCGGGGGCAGAGCTGGGGGAAGCAGGGAAGCGGGTGCAGATCTCCACTGGGGAAGGTGGTCAACAAAGACAAGAATCAAGCCCAGGGAAACCACTGTGATCCCGAGCACCAGATTGAGACAGAAGTGTAGGTGGTCTCCACACAACTTGCCTGGCGAAGCTGGTGATGCACAAACCAGCTTTTTCCCTTTCCCTCCTCCGGTCTCCTCTCTTACAGAGTATCAGTAACTAGCAGCATTCGCCCAAAATGAACAGAAGTGCTGTATAATAATGAAGAGACTTAAAATAACCCAGATGGAAAATAAAGTCTCTGCATACGATAATTTCTTATACCTCAATTCAAATGCTAGACAACATGTTTAAAGGGCTCTCATTATAATATATTTTAAAAGATGTAGGAAATATACTTTAGGTCTTAGTATATAACAAACACAAACACACAAGTGTTTGTTCGGAGAAAAAAAACTCTAAAAGCCTGTTCAAGAAGTTTAAAGAATTAATCCGTGTTGTTTCTTCTTCCTTCACAAAATAACCATATGTACAACTCATAATTCCTGGAATGTAATTTTAGAGGCTGGTCTTACTACAAGTCATTATAAGGTTGATATATTGAAAAATGTTTTCCTGTTTCATATATTTTACCAAACAAAGACAAACCCATTATTTTTTGCCAAAAGAATGTCAGAAGCTGAGCTCTAGTCATTAACAAATTTTCCTAAACACCGTCATCCAATTAACCTTCATTTTGCACTGCTACTTACTTGGTATTTATGGAAAGGCTTTCTACGGTACAGTTAAGATCACCAAAAACTAATTTGATGAACACACTCTTAACGCTTCCCCAAACAGCACACACATATGAACACAGGGTCTCACAAAGGCGCCTTTTTTTCTTAAGAACATGTACCTTTTGGCCTCCTGAAGCTTCCACTGTGTGGTGGTCTTTCAATTTCTGTGTTTGTTCCATTATGTCTTTCAAATGTTCATTTACCTTAAAATATAAAAACATTAATTTGAATTTATAGTCAAATATAACAGTAAAATAACATGTACCTTAAAATGCCTGTGTTCAGATCTCTGATGTCAAATACCAGTACCATGCAAATGAACAGAATTTCATTTTCCCAACCAGAAAAAAGTATTTTACAGGTGTTCTGTTTGAAATTCTAAAATTCATGACTTTACCAAATACTTGTTGAGTACCTAGTACATGTCAGGTACTAGCTGGAGTGCTAGGGGGAAAAAAAGGTACTTGATAACTTCTGTTTTAATGCTTGGGAAACAATAAAACTTTTTTCAGTAAAAAGTTTACAATCTCTTTTAGAACTGCTAAGTGAAAATTATTTTCCTCAAAAACACTCGGAATCAAACAGTCTTTTTTTTTTTTCAAATGTATTCCTTATCTTTTATTCTTTTCTTTAAAATAAATTTATTTATTTATTTTTGGCTGCGTTGGGTCTTCGTTGCTGCACGTGGGCTTTCTCTAGTTGTGGCGAGCAGGGGCTACTCTTCATTGCGGTGAGCAGGCTTCTCATTGCAATGGCTTCTCTTGTTGCAGAGCACGGGCTCTAAGCGCCCAGGCTTCGGTAGTTGTGGCACGTGGGCTCAGTAGTTGTGGCTTGGGGGCTCTAGAGCGCTGGCTCGGTAGCTGTGGCGCGTAGTCTCAGTGGCTCCACGGCATGTAGGATCTCTGAGCCGGACCAGGGCTCGAACCCATGTCCCCTGCATTGGCAGGCGGATTCTTAACCACTGCGCCACCAGGGAAGCCCTGAATCAAATTCTTAGGCTGTGATCTCATAGGCATGTCCCTGGATCATGAGTAGGTTTTAGTGTGGTCATAAGGCCACAGTTAAAATACATGAAAAATTTTTGCATATGGGAACTTCTTAGGGAGAAGGTCTGATTTATCTATCAGATTGTTCAAACAACCCATAATTCAAGATGATTAAGAGACACTTGGTCTAGTGCAAAAGTATTTCTTCAGAATAGTCTAGACAAGTTTGGGCTCTGAGTCACTGATTTTAAGGTCAGTCCAGTAATAATAAGCAAATGTTCAAGTTAATTAATAATGGCATTCTGGAAACTCTGAATGGTATTATCAACCACTGTAACTCTAAACTAAATCAATAATTTTCTAACCTCTTGCTGCTTAAAATTCAGTTCAGTGCCTAAGAAAAAAAGACTGAAGAATTTGAATTTATGATAAATTTAACTAACAGTTACGATACACTCCGAGGCGTTAGAAGGAATTTAACCAACACACAGATTCATCTTGGGTTGTACTGCCAAGTAGGCTGCCGTGCTCTAAGATCTTAGGGCACCGACTTGGCAGTGTAAAACACTCTTCCGAAGAGACAGCAGAAGCAGAAGCGACCCGGCTCTGACTCAAAACCCCTACTCACAAACCACGATCTTAATAATTTCCTGATACCTGAGCCTTCGTTGCCAGCTGGAATAAAACCTACTTCACAAGAGGTTTGGAGACGATGCCTCTAAGACGGTCCCCAATGATCCCCTTGAGTGTGGGCAGGGCCTATAATTTGCTCCTACCCAACAGAATACAGCTAAAGGGATGGGATACCACTTTGGCGCTTATGTCTCGCACACTAAGCCCCACTCTCTCCTGCTGGCTTTGAGGAAGCACGCAGCCATCCCTCGAGCTGCCCTACAGAGAGGCCTGCATGGTAAGGAGCTGGGGGCAGCCTCCGGCCAGCAGCCAGTACGGAACCGAGGCTCTCCGCCCAACTTCTGGACCTAAGCCCTGCCAACAACCATGGGGGCTTGGAGTGGACCCTCCACACCCAAACTTTCCAATAAGACCCCAGGCCTGGGCAACACCTTGAGCCAACCTTGTGACAAACCCTGAAGATGGAGCATGCAGGTAAGCAAGGTCTGGATCCCTGACCCACAGAAACTGGTAATCCTGAGATGATTATAATAAGTGAGTAAATAACTGAGCTACCAGAAGTTTTAAGCAGTTAAGTTTGTGGTAATTATTACGGCAAAACAACTAATACAGAGAATAAAAGAGATAATGTATAAAATGTACCAAGTAAAGTGCATAATACAGAGCACAGACCCCATAAATAGAAACCACTACCATTACTTAGAAACGATACACCCCCAACGTAATTCCAGATAGTTACATGTCTGTAAGGGCCTTAACAAGTCCTACTCAAAATACTTTAAGCTGATGCAATGGCATAAATCATCCAAAATACCGAACTCATGATTATAAGAAAATTTTACACGTTGATAATTCATTAACTTTCTAATAGGGAAGCTACACGGAAAGTACAAGACCCGGTCACTTCAAGTTATTTAACCTACCTGGGTACACAAGACAGATAAATGAGATAATTAGCTTAGTAATTCTTAAGCCAGTTCCCAGATGCTGGTTAGAAAGTTCTAGCACTAAAGTTGAGTCATGACATTCTTTGCGCAACTCACGGATAAAAGTTAAAGATGTGTGTGTATCAGAGAGCCCATCATGACTTGGAGGCAGTTCACCACTGGAACGAGTGCTGAGGACCAGTGAACTAGAGAACATACAACGCACAGCCGGCGCTGGCATATGAATTAAAAATAAATGTGCTAAAACGTCACATGCATTTTTAAATATCCATTAATTTAAAAATGGACACTAGCTTTTATTTAATTTTTTTTCATTTAAAAATACAAAATAGTCATGTGTATCCTTGCCTTGATGTAAGTCTAAAAGTCAGTCAATACTTTTTCCTTCCTCCTGAATAATACAAAAACCGTAGAAAGGCTTTAATTCAAATCACCTCCTCTCACCCCTCATGTTACTTTAACCTAGCAACATAGTTCTTCCTTTTTAAGGGCCTCAGAATTAGGCACGATGATGATTTTTTAATAACACTTGCTTAGATTTACCCATGTGCACACCAACTCCCCTTTTTATCATTGCTTCCTACACCCCACCTCTTCCTCCAGGTTCCCCTTCTTTCTTCCTGAAGTACAACCTTTCAGCACTTCCTTCTGCAAAGGTCTGAATGATAAACCACCTCTGTCTGAACAAATCTCGATTACAACTTTGGTCCTGGGCGAAAGTACAGAACTCTAGGTTCATCGTTATTTTTCTTCGGCACTTTGATGATTTTGCTGCACTGTCTTCTGGCTCAACTATTACTGCTGAGATGTCTACTATCGCGTTCCTTTGAGAGAGACTGTCTTTTTATCTGTGGATTCTGCAGTTTCATTGCTATATATGTAGGCGTGGATTTATTTTAATTTCTCCTGCTTCCAACTCACGATGGTGCCTGAATTTGAACGTCTATGCCTTTCATCTATTGTAAAACATTTTCATCCATCGTCTCTTCAATTATTCTCTCCCCAGCCCACCCACTCCCTGTTAACTCCTTTTGGAATTCCAATCAGGCCTCTAGGCAAGTCTGTTAACCTCAGTGTCATATATCCCATCTCATCTCTCTGGGCTGATTCTGGGTAATTTCTTCTCGTTAATTAACTCCCCTCTTCAACTATGTCTAATCTTCTGTTTTTTATTTCAACGACTAAAATCTTCAATTCCTGAAGTTATATTTTATTCTTTTTCCAATATACCCTCCACGCTGCCTTATTCTTTCCTATGGCCTTTATTCCGTGTTTTATTTTCAGCCACTCAAGCATTTATTTTTGTCTTTTCAGGCTGCTCTCCTCTCTGCAGCTCTCAGCGTGTGGGCCTTGTTTGTCAGGTTTGCTGACTCTCCCGTGTACGTGACGGCATCTTCATCATTTCCTAAACGCTTGTCGTTGGTACTTTTGCATCTGCGAGAAGAGTATCCCTCCCCCACTGCTGGGGACTCCCACGGTTTGGGTGTAGAAGTGACCTTCAGAGCAACTTTACCTCTGCTGGTCTGCCAGGTGCCAGGAAGATACCACTGGCCTGGCACTGGGCTTTCTGGTCATCTGTCGCCCCCCCACCCCACGCTCAGTCCAGGAGGCCTCCTCCCCAGACCTGGAGGGAGACACAAAGTCAGCCCAAGACGACCCGACAGGCCGCATCTTCTCGCCAGGGGGTGGTTTAGGTGTGGGCCTGAGAACCACCCTCCTGGGGGAGACCTTCCGGGGGAAGGTTCCTTTGCTGACAGCAGCGCCCAGAAGACCCTACTCTCATCTTTGCTGGACATCGTTATGACTGCACGTGTGCGACCTCTGGAATCACCGCAGCCATCGTAAAACCATGCGTGGAAGTAGCCCCGTGGCAAAGCTGGGACCCCTGCATTACTGATGATACCAACACCGACAAGGCCCGCCTCCAGGGGGCACTTATGAGCAACGACATCGCGGCTGGTGTGCTCGTTTCCATTGAGGGCGCGAGCTCTTGGTGGGTCTACACAGAGGTCACGGTTCCAGCTTCCCGTAACCGGCAAAACCCACGGTCTCATCTGGCATCTAGCGACTCTCGAGCCCCGGCAGAGGCTCCACGGCCCCTGAGAGGCCACCAAAGCCTGCAGCCCCGCTTTGTTTCTGGCACCCGACAGTTTCCTTTTCTGTCTCTGATGCTCAGCTCTGTAGCATAAACCTTTCCAACTGCATTTTATCAAACATGTCCAGGAGTTCGTAACAGGAAGGGCTACCGCTGAATGTGACACGCTGCCAAAATAACTAAAATGTTCTGTCCCGGCAACATGTGTTAAAGGCGTCATAACGTCCATGCATCTTGAAGCATTTTGACGGATTTACCAATTATGGGGGGGAGGGGTTGATAGGGCCCAAACTTGGGAAAGTTTATAACTTTTTCTGGGTTTTTGGTTTGGTCCTTTTTCTTAGCATTTTCTTTTCTTTCTTTTTTTTTTTTTAAAGTTAAAAAAGAAACACTTTCAAATTCAATATCAGGTAGTTGTAACTGATCTGTCAGTTTGGAAATATCTTCATGATTTTTTAAAAAGTCCTTATCTGATTCTCTCCGAAAAGCAAATTGGTCACACGTGAGCATTCTGAACCACTATTCCTTCACTTACTCATCCACACAGTCAACAGTGACTTACTGAACTCCGGACATTAAGAGGCTATAGGGACACAATGGTGCATCAATACAGTCTAGTCCCCGTCCTCATGGAACAAGGGAGACGGAACAAAAAAGGAAAAAAGGGTGAAAAACTCCCCCCCAACAAAAGCAATCTGTAAGGAGTGGTACAAATCAATAAAGAGGTGAGTAGAAAATCACGGGAGTGGGGAGACCTATCTTGGCAGGGACGCTGTCCCAGAGGTGGCCTCTGAAGCTGCAGCCACGACACAGAGAGGAGGATGAAACACAAGCAAAGGCCCTGTGGTGGGAAAGCCTGCGGTGTTTGAGGGAGTGAAAGAGAACAGTAAGGCTGGAGCCTGGTGAACCCAAGGGAGGCTACAGATGGAACTAGAGAGAGGTAGGGCCAAGTAACAGAAGGTTCCTGTATTCACAACTCTTGTGTACCTCTCCTGACTTAGCCATTACAATCTTGTCCTCTGTGATCTTGCTTTTTTTAAGTTTAAACTCATTTACAGTCAACAATGCTGATAACTATTCTAGCCACGTAATTCCCATTTTTCTATGGTAGCTTTTTTTTTTTTTTTAATACTTGTATTATCCAGAAGAAAAGGCAACTAGGTCAGGATGAGGCAAAATAAGAGCCAGAAGAAGCGGTACGTACTCCACTGGAGAGCGGAAGGTGACGTCACACCCAGAGAAGAGACGCCGATGCACGCCGGGGCTGGTGGAACCAGCGAGAAAAAGCTACTCTGAGGTGCAGGTTCAATCAACTGGTTCCAATCATGACCTGAAAACTGAAGAGGGTGGACACGGCTGCCTAAAGGTGTTGGACATTCTGAATCAGGTGATCTCCTTATTTTCCGTAGACTCCCAAAGTTCTACAGTGCCGAGCCTGATTCTGTGGCTTAAACTCCCTCTTCGATGTATTAAACACCATCGCTTTGCCAAACACGGCACTAGTCCAGGCACTTAGCACTAAAAAAGAAAGATGAGCACAGTACTTGTCCTCATATCGATTATTCTAGTTTGTTCAAAGGATTAAACTCTGAAAAGTGCTATAAAGGAAACAGAGCATCACAGTACAAAATAAGACTTGCCAGGTGCCTACTTTAGACAGGCTGCGAGGAGAAAGCGCCATCCAAGCTGAGAAATGATAAGCGCAGAGGCACCGAGCCGCACAAAAGGCTGGGCGATGGGCCACCCAGGAACGGGAAGCATCGCGTCCAAGGGCCAGAGGTGATCCCCACAGCTGGGATGAAGGGAGGGAGGGAAGAAGAGGAACAGTGGCCCTGACCTGGGACGGAGGTGCACACAGGGGTCGGGCTGGGGGGTACTTTGTCGGCACTGGTCCACTTGACATTTTCAGTGTAAAATGTGAACTCAGCATGATCCGAGTGGCCTGAAAGCAACATCCTGGGGGTCCCGGCCCTGGTCCTGCTGAGGCAGCAGGTGTCACCCGGAGCTTCCCAGGGACACCGAGGAGAGCTCTGGACGCGACGGCAGGACCGGGAGGGCGAGCCGCTGAAGGAGGAGCGCGCCGAGTGCGGTCGGCCTGCGTGGCTCTGCCCTCAACCCGCGCGAGGCTGAGTGGCTGGACTCAAGCAGGGAGCTGCAGCCTCGGTGGCTTGAGGAGCAAAGGGGGCAGTCACCGGCGTGGCTGGGTACCAAGGAGGAGCAGCCTGGCCGGAAGGACTCGTTCATGGAGGGGACCCCAACCCACACGGAAACTGCCACAGATCCTTGGCTGGCCTGCACTGTGCTAGCAGGAAGGGGTCCCGGAGCCCAGGGAGGGGACAACTGCTGGGACCCCGGCAGGGAGGTGGCGTGGCGCCCGGGCTTGGAGAACGCCTGGCGGTCCCGAGGCTTCACAAGGCTCACATGTGAATTCGAGACGCGGACATTAAAGCAGTCACTGGATTTGTCCGAACGGGAGCCTACAGCGGCCTCAGCAGCGGCTTCAGGGTGGGAGTGGGGGAGGGGATGGCGAGGTCCTGTGTGCAGAGAAACAGGGCCCGAGTTGGGTGGGGAAGCTTTGTTTACCAGGACGGGAGACAGCAGAGCAGCCTTATTCTTACGAGGATGACCCGACAGGGAGGGAGTCGGGTGATGGAGGAGCGTGAGTGTGGCCCACAGACCAGCGCTGGGACACTGCCAGGAGCGTCTCAGAAACGTAGACTCTCCACCCCAGCCCAGACCTACAAGCTCCCAGTAGATGCTTTTTTTTTTTTTTTTTTTTTTTTGCGGTACGCGGGCCTCTCACTGTTGTGGCCTCTCCCATCGAGGAGCACAGGCTCCGGACGCGCGGGCTCAGCGGCCATGGCTCACGGGCCCAGCCGCTCCGCGGCATGTGGGATCTTCCCAGACCGGGGCACGAACCCGTGTCCCCTGCATCGGCAGGCGGACTCTCAACCACTGCACCACCAGGGAAGCCAAAGGTGAACATTTTTAATAGTGGGGGTGTGAGAGTGAGGGAAAAGAGTTAAACAAGAACGGAAGGTCTGCGGTGGGTCGTGAAGGTCACGTGGTTTCTGACGATGAGTGGGTCCAGGATAGGACCGTGATCCCTACAGCTAACGAGCGGAGGGCAGAGTGCCACATGGGCCTTTGACACTGACACTGATACTACGGACCACGATGGCAGACGCAGGAGTCTTCACACTTAGCTTCTTGTTACAAGCTCCATGCAAGCACTCAAGGGGGGGACACCTGAAGATGTAACTTCTTTTAAATCCGTTCAGGTCTGTCTTGCTCACAGATAAGGTTTGATTTTCTCTGGGGTTACAGTTGTAAACGAAAGAGAGTCAAGAGGAATTAACTATTCAAATTGGTAAAGGGAGCGATAAATCGACAACTGGAGCATCTTCAGAGCACAAATAAGTAATCACAGCTCTATAAAAATTTCCAAGAGGAGGAATCTACAATCTATATAGTCTTATGCAAGTCAGCCAAGCAAACCTAAAAATCATCTAGTTGGAAATGAGAAGCTTATTTCATTCCTGGACATAAAAAATACTTACTGAGCGCTTGCAACGTATAGTTAGTTCCCTACGTGGAGGGCTCTGAATTTTCTAATAATCTAATATGAACTAGATTAATCATTAAATGTAACTACAGATACTGTGGAATACATAAAATCTATTTCCATCATTTTAACAGTATATATATATTTTTAAGTCTAAAGGGAACGGGAAATTTCAAGTAAGATCGCACAGCTTTCGTTTTCACTTTGATTTCAAACAAAAAGAGTTAATGGAATCTGTCTTAGTCCGTTCAGGCTGCTACAACAAAAATACCACAGACTGGGTGGTCTGTAAGCAACAGAAATGTATTTCTCAGAGTTCTGGAGGCTGGGAAGTCCGAGATCAAGGCGCCAGCAGACTGTGTCTGGTGAGCCCGCTTTGTCACACGGCAGAAGCGGCGAGGGAGCTCTCTGGGGTCTCTTGATAAAGACAGTGGCACAGGTCCCACGCATGAGGGCCAGGCCCTCACGACCTAGCCACCTCCTGACACCACCACACTGGGGCTTATGACTTCAACATATGAACTGGGGGGCAGGGGGACACAAACATTCAGTGTGCAGCAGAGTGGGGATGTGTGATGTTTTCTGCTTCTGAGACTTTTTTTTTACCCGAGGGAGCATATCCCTACCTTATTTATCCAGTACATGACGGCATCCTCAATGTCATAGGGCAGGTCTGTGGCTTGGAAGAAAGCCGAGTACTGCTGAGCGCACGCGGCCACCTTCTCCACACTGACCATCTCCACGGTGTAAGCCATCATGAGGGTGTCCATCATGGCCAGGTGAGCGCTCTGGAAACAAACCGAGAACAACCGTCAGAAACTGCTGCTTATATCAGTTTACATATTAATAATATTTCCCTACGAACAGGAGCAGAACTCAAGGCTATGGAAGACGAGCCTTGGTGAGAAAGCACAAATGGTCCAGGCCGGAGGTGAGCTGACGGAACCCAAGTCATCTGTCACTCAGATACTTCCTGAGGATCTATGCTCAAGACACTCGTTGTCTCCTGCTCAGAGCACGCTCCTTTTCCTCGTGTCCTGCCTTCGAAAATGTCGCAATCATCGGCTCGGCAACGCAGCTTCAGACTTCAGAGCAGCCTCTGAGTAAGTGCTCTGCGCGCTCCTCTCCTCCACGTGGCAGAAATGTACACATGCTACTTGTAAGCTGTCTCTCAAGGCTACCCTCCTGGTCTGGTGGCCTCCGCTCCCATTCGGACACCACCATGTCTCTCCCCTGAACAAGGCAAAAATCCTGATTTTCCTGTGGCTCCAACTTCTTCCTCACGCTCTGCATCCGGCACAGGACTTCTAGTCTTTCCTTTGTGGCTGCTTTTTGGGAGGGTGGTGGTTTCAAACAGAAACGTTATATGGGGGGAGGGGGGGTGTTCCTTAACATTTCCCAACATTACAAAGTATCTAAAGTCGAAAGTACCCTCTCCCCCTCCTGTTTCCCAAGCAGCGTCTACGGTTTGGTACGTATTCTTACCAAAAATGTAATTTTGGTAAGAATTTACACTGCTTCCTATTCTTTGGCGTCACAAACAACGCTACAACCTTGTGTGTCTCCAGGGATGATTCTCCACCGTGGGGCTACTGGGCCCGAGAGCAACCTCATGCTAAGTTTTGATGAATAATCAATCACTTATCTGCTCTCTAGAAAGGCTGCAGCAACTTTCACATCCCCCAAGAATGTTAGCAAGGGTGCTTGTTTCCCCACACTGTTTGCCAACCTTAGACATCATTGCCTTTTTATGATCTGTATCGGTCTGAAGGTTAAAAACCCCACTCTTGTTCAGGCTTTGCATTTCTCTGATTGAGGACGGGCATCTTTTGTATGTTTGGCAATTATTGGTACTTTTCTCTTAGGTATGCTCACCTTTCTTTACTTCTTGATTTGTAAGGGCTCATTATTTATTAGGTACATGAGCTCTGGACCATTCAGGTCGCAAACACTTTTTCCTAGCCTGTCTTTGGACTTTCAACTTTATTCGGAATGTATTATGCGGCAGAGAAGTTCTAAGTATTTACTCGGTAAAACCTGTCAATCTTAACGTTCTCCTTCACGACTTTGGAATTTCTCCCAAGTTTACAAGAGGCTCCCCCCGCACACCCCCAAGAATAGAGAAATAGTATCCTCTACTTTTTCTGTTATTGATACTTTAAATCCACGTGGAATGTATTTTTGAAGATGTTATCAACTAGGGACTAGTTATTTTTCCACATCAGAGACGTCATCATATCAGAGACGTCATCATATCATGCTCCCCTAAAGTCTACCTCATCTTCTACATAATAAAGTCTAAGGCCCCTCCCTATCCATCCAGTTTTACAACCCGCATTTCCTTCCCCCAATCTACATTCCATTTAGAACAGCCTCAGAAGAGTGTTTGCTGCTCCCCAAACCTGTCGCCAGGCTTCAAGCTCCCATGCCCTCCCTGCTGTCGCCGCCTCACACTGCAGACTAAGTCCTGTTGTTGGTCTGACTGTCACCCTCTTTCCGACCCCCTTTCCAATCAAGATGGATCATTCTTCCTACAGAGTGGGTATACTATTTATACTTGCATGAAATTCTTTTCTTCTTTGAGTTTTATTGCGATGTAACTGAAATACCACGCTGTGTGAGTTGACAACAGGTTTAGTGCCATGTGCACTGAATTCTGACTTCATTATCTGAAGCAGGGCACGGAAAACAGCATCTGTAAGAAGCTCCCCGGATGAGGCTAACGAGAAGCTGGCTGAGGACCATAGACTGTCTGGCTGCAGGGCAAAGAAAACAGCATCTGTAAGAAGCTCCCCGGATGAGGCTAACGAGAAGCTGGCTGAGGACCATAGACTGTCTGGCTGCAGGACAGGCACCATCTCCCTGGTGAGACAGCGAGACCCCAAGGGCAAGGGCACTGTCTGAGCATCTTCGCACTCCCTACACCTCACACGGTACCTGACAGCGAGCACGGGCTAAAGGAAGGAAAGGAGCTGGCCTACTGCTCACTGTAAAGGGCGAAGAGCTAGCTTGACTCTGGAGGCTGAGGAAGTGGGTTCTGACTTGGACGTGATGGACCAGCGTACTGAAAACTTAGCGGTGTTTACAGGAAGGCAGGTGCTCTGTCTGAAGCGGAATGCCTGATTACGGCAATCAGAAAACCAACGGTGACTCCAGGTGCTGTGCTGAGGGCTTTATTAACATACTAGCTCTTCCAGTTCCAATCTTTGCGGAAGTGAGGCTGGAGATAATATACATTTGTTACAACCCTTAAAGCTCTGAAGGAAGCATCGTTTATGTTTTTAACGTGAGGAAGCTGAAGCTCCAGAAATTAAATAGTTTGTCCAAACCCATGCGCTCCTCCTATTGTGTCGTGCGGTTGGCAGAAGCTAAGTCACGTACCAATAGTTAGGCAAGAAATACGTTCTGGAAATGGTAAACAGCCATCATATGCAAGAAAGAAAACTCAGCATCATTATTTGCACCTCAAGTCATGTTTTCACATTCTCCCTCTTGTTCAGGCGGCTACTGTCCAGAGAGAGACCCCAATTCCTTCTTCAGACTCAGAGTGGACACGGGATCAACCGCAGCGCGCCCTTCCACTCAGGTGATTTCTGTGTCCTCTCTCTATTCACTCGAGCCCTAGGGAGCGGGGTCCCGTCTTTCTCATCTTTGTTCCCAGCACAAGGTTTTGAGGGCAAAGTCTGAGTAATCAGTATTTACAGCATTACAAAGCATAACTCTTTTGAACAAAAATGTGGGAAAACATCTCAGGAGCTGTAAGACCATCCACCTCCTCTTCACTAAGACTCTTTTCCCTTGGCAATTTATTCTACAGGTACAATTTAAGAGAGAAAACGGAGCTGCAGGAATGAAACTGACCGTTACAGAATTGTATATAACAAGAAAGGAAGCAATGTTACAAGCAGAATTAGCAATTTATGCCATCCTAAGCTCTTTGACAACAGGGGAAAATGTGCACAATACAATGCTGAGTAGAAGAAACAACGCCATGCTATAACAACGCTCAAAATAAATACACACATATAAATGGGCAGACACAAGTGTATGTACGTATACACCTTGAATATACATATAATATATATATATATATAAAACAGGAAGGGAAAAGGAATGAATAAAAATAAAACTTACTTAGAAATGACCGTGTTATAATATGCAAAAAATACATATAAAATCTATAGTTTACTTCAAAACTTAGAGGATAGTAAACACTAAGTATAATTAGTAATACATTTTCAGAACAAAGCTCATCTCACTGATTACTTCACTTCCTAAATTTAAAAACAGACTTAAACAAATTCCACTACCGTGTTTACAGATATTTCCATAAGATGTTCACCCACTTTTAAACTGAGAACCTTCAAATTTTATTATGATTTTTTTTTACCCCTTAACTTTATGAGGTAGAAGTAAATTTAGAAATTATATATAACAGAAACTATATACATAATGAATCTAGAAAGCATCGACAGTGAAAACTAAGCTGTAGGCTACAATCAATCCATTTGGAACGATTTATGTCTCTAAATAAAATACACGCATTTAATTGTTTACCCAAAGCATTAAGGTCAGAATAACAATAACGGCAGCTAGCGCTGAGTGTTATGCTCCAGGCAATGTTTCCCGCATTTGTGTCAACTCACTTGATAACACAGCGCTGTGAGATGCACTCTTATTAAACCTGTTTTACAGATGAGAGAACGGAGCCACCCGTCCGAGGTTACAGAGCCAGGAGGCACGGAGCTCACAGGGCCCAGCAGCAGCCTGCAGACCCCAGCGCTGGGCGCCGCGGAGGCAGTGCAGAGCCCGCCACCCAGGAGCAGCAGCAGAAAGGCTAGTGGGGAAGGAAAGCAGGAAAGTTCCCTGCATTTTAGTGAAAAAGGCAAGGACAAGGAGGCCCGGGAACTCACTGAGGCCTCTACTAGCTTCTAGATCTGGGTTACAGGTTACACTTTGTTATCTCCGACCAGTGGAGTCTAGACAAAAATGATTTACATTTAGGTATCAGAAATGAAGGTTAAGGCTATTAAATAAAGAAGAGCATCGAAGTGTTGTAGGTAAGAAGGCTATTAATGAGCCTCACAGATGAATAACATCCAAGTTCTACTATTTCATGGCTTTTTTATTCTTTTATCCGACGTAGGACTAGGAAAATATTTCCTAAACTGAACTCAGGCCTGTGGCGCAGTGGCCAGTGCACCAACCGTGTCCAAGCCCTCCTAGAGGGACACGGGAGGGAACAGACTTAACAGACGGACACGAACAGGAAGAATTGGAATTATTCTGCTAAAATGGCACACAACAGCATATACACATCACGCTATAGTTTGTCAAAGTTAATTCCGATTCAGAAAATAATATTTTACACATCATTTATTTATATAAACAAGTTCACCAAAATTTTCATTTACCCTTCATTTACATGGAGATACAAGGAAAACAGCACTTAAAGCCCTACTGAGATACCACTTCCCACCAGGAAGGCTATAATTTAAAAAGTCAGATAATAACAACCACTGGCAAGGATGTGGAGAAATGGGAGCCCTTGTGCCCCGCTGGCGGGAATGTTAAATAGTGCAGCCACTGTGCAAGAGTCTGGCACTTTCTCAAAGAGTCTGCCCCAGCAGCTCTGCTTTTACGTTCATTATATCCAAGAGAAACAAAAAACGTGTCCACACAAAATCTGTACACAAATATTCAGAGTAGCATTATTTGTAAGAGCCAAAAAGGTGGAAACAAGCCAAACGTCCATCAACTGATGACAGGATAAGCAAAAATGATACAGCCGTGATATTCTGAATGGAATATAATTCGGCAATAAAACGGAACAAAGCCTGACATAGGCCACAACACGTGTGAGCCTGGAAAACAATGTTGTTTTCTAAAATGGATTGTGGCAGTGCTTACACAACTCTGAATATACCAAAACCATTGCACTGTACACTTAGAATGCATGAACTGTCTGGTGTGCCGATTATACCTCAAGTCGTTAGCCCCCCCAAAAGATTAGATTGATTTATGATGCTCTGCCGACCCTCTTCCAGTGTAAACACCTCAAAAATGACCGTTTAGGTCTAAGTCAGGCAGTTAGCTATATCCATGTGTTTGCAAAGTATCTTCAGAAGGACTTCAGGGTGAAGGGACACTTATTTTTCTGGACAGTGAAGTATTTTAGATATTATTAAAAAATAAATTAACATTTGCTTACTACCATAAGTTTGTTGTCTACATAACGTTAAGCAGGAAACATCTATATATGAATTGATGACAAAAAGTAAAATAAATAAATATGCTAAGTTAATTCTATTTTCCTCCCACAGATATTTATGTTCACTTTCTTTTTTTTTTTTTTAATGTTCGCTTTCTTAAGGCTCCAACTAATCTGGATAAAAGGTATATATAGTTTACTTTAAAAGATTATTATTTACGATCTTTCTTAGATACTGTTATTTTAGTAGCTAGAATCTTAGCGATAGATTTCTATAGTTGGTATGAGAATAGAAATTTTCCAGAAAAACAATTTATTTCCAATCATAATGTCGGTCCCCTTATATGATAAGAAAATCTTAGCGTATCAAAAATTCAGGCTATCAAAAGTAGGCTGGACTCACAAGTGTAGGTAGTATGCTACATGAGGGGCAAGTTTTTTGCTAACATCACAAGGGTCTTTGGCCCAATGAGTGGGGTTCGATAGTAATACTTGCTACAAATGTAAAAAAAAAAGTAGGCTGGTCCAAGGAGCAAAAAGCACTGGCCTTAAAAACAAAGGCAGGACTTCCCTGGCGGTCCAGTGGTTAAGACTCCACGCTTCCACTGCAGGGAGCATGGCTTCGATCCCTGGTCGGGGAACTGAGATCCCACGTGCCATGAGAGGCGGCCAAAAAAAAAAAAAAAAAAAAACAGAGGCAGACTATCACTGAGACAGCAAAGAGTTTAGCTGTAACCTACAGGAGGATCCAGGCATGGCTGTTCCAGTCATAATGATGCTGTATTCAACCTGTAGTAAACACAGTCAGGACCAAAGCGGGCCAGCGTCGTTCTGCTACACCAGACGGAACGGTGGAACTGGGCGCCTTGGCAAGGGAGGTGATGTCCGTGAGATTCAAACTCTTAACATGAATGACATTTGCTTGTGACCACACAAAATGATACATCGATTTTATTTGGACGCATCTGGTTAGCCATGTGAATGGGGTAAAGAGAGAAAGTTAAAAAGTACGATTACCAGCATGGAACTATAAGCACAGTGATACTTATTTAGCTGCCATTTAACTCTGCCTAAATTGAAAACATACCGTAGGACACACAATAAAGCAGTCGAGAGTTCTCTTTAATCTGTGTCCATAAGGGCGGCACGAGCATCTGGCTTACATTCTGTCATTTGCATTTGGTGAATCTGATCATCACACACCCAATGGAGAACTGTTTCCAAGATAATGTTGAACCAAACTGCCATCAAGCTTTATTACAAAAGGAATACATGCAAGAAACAGTGCAGCCCAAACGTCTATCAAATTGCAAGTCCCAGACCAATGAAAGAAATGATGTCTCCTGAGCAGCTCCATCACTTCCTCTGGACTATATTTAACCTCAACTGGCAAGTTAAGGATGTTTACCTGAGGCTGCACCGGGCGGACGCAGACAGGGACTGCACATTAGTAGCAAATAAATACGGTAAACACAGGAAATGGTTCACAGCAGTGGTTCTGAATCTGGCTCATCATCAAAAATCACAAATTTCCTGGCCCCAAACGTCAGAGGGGCCCCAGAATAGCATCCTAACAGGAATCCTGCCCCCAAAGGCCCTCAGCACGACGGACTGACAATGACATCACTCCACAACCCAACGCCGTCAGGGGCTTCCCGGGGCCCACCACCCTTCCAGGGTCTCCTCTTTCACTGCTTCTCTACGTGAACCTATGGTCCAGGAGCACAGGTGATGAGCAAGCAGAGTGCCTGCGTTCAGCCTTGACTCTACACCTCCTACGTAACCCTGGGCAAAGCCCTCCATTTCTTTATGCTTCACTACCCTCAACTGCAAAGTGGGCTGACAACAATAGTACGGGCATTTCGTGCCCTAACAACAACACGGTTTACATCAAGAACAGGGCTGGGGTAGACCACTCGCAAGATCTGCACCTTTGTGACCAGGAGGTAACCTGGAGAGCCCGGCTTCCACCGGGCTGGAAGCTGCCCCAGTGCGCAGGGAAAAGTGCACAGAAGCAAGTGTGGACATGCTGCATGCTTTCTAATTAGAGGCTGGCTGGTGGATGATGACATGATGACACAGATGGACGTGGATCTCAGCCAGCAGAGGTGGACCCCAGCCAGCAGAGGTGGACCCGGGAAGCAGTGCAGCTGTCCCCAGCCAAGACTGCACTCGGCCGGGGCTGCCCTCGGGAAAGGGCCCTGGGCAGATGCCCCTCTGAAGAATGAAACAGGAGAGAAGGCTGTGGCGTCAGTTTTGGATTGGAGGTTGCCCTAAGAGCTCATTATCCTACGTGTACATCTCTCCTAGCCTAGAAGCAGTAACACAATAAATATACCTGTGCCCAGATCTTGGTTTCTAAATAACATCTCCACATTAAAATAAACCCAAGGCTCTTTAGAGAATGGCTGATTCCAAGTCAGAGACAGGAAAAGCACAAAGTGAGCCTGGAATAGCTAGTTGGGTCAGAAAGAAAAAAGTATTCAAAGACTGCTGGGGAGCTGTTAAAAGGATACAGGAGTCAGCCTAGTGGGGGGTCCCATTGGCCAAATATGGGCCCACGTGAATACAAAAAAGATTAAAAACAAGAATGAATCATAACACAAGTAATCAAAACCAAGATGAATCCATGAGTCCACAGTGATAATCACTAAAGGGGAAAGGTGGATGAGAAAGCTTTTCTCCACAGAACAATGCCAGGTAAGAAATATAAAAGGAATGAGAGAATTTTTAAATCACCATATTCCAACCACCACTGCAGTAATTCATTCAGTCACAGATCGCCCAGAGATGCTAAAACCGCTAGGTGGTGTATCACTGGGAAACACAATATGCAACAAATGTCAAAGTATCACTCCACATAATGCCCCCGGTTACAAAGGGAAAAGTGGTCAAACTTAGAATCACCAGTAATGGGACATGGTAAGATTTAATCAAGAGTATAACATATCACCTATTCATGTCATAGCATTCATGTCAAAAGATTTTACTCGGGCTTCCCTGGTGGCGCAGTGGTTGAGAGTCCGCCTGCCGATGCAGGGGACACGGGTTCGTGCCCCGGTCCGGGAAGATCCCACATGCCGCGGAGCGGCTGGGCCCGTGAGCCATGGCCGCTGAGCCTGCGCATCCGGAGCTTGTGCTCCGCAACGGGAGGGGCCGCAACAGTGAGAGGCCCGCGTACCGCCAAAAAAAGAAAAAGATTTTACTCTGAATCTTGTATTGATATTCTTATCCCACAAAATTACGTTTACAGAGCAAGCTTTAAATGCTGTCTAGCTAAAACAGGAGCTGCTGATACATGCACAGAATAAGCTGTTTCTGTTTACCTTCTTAATTCCTAGGTAATTGTTGGTGGCTTTCTCCCCAAACCATACCACACAAGGAATGCATTCCAAATGTGTATCTGTCCATTAAACAAGTCATTAGATGGGTACAGGAGAATGTACGGCCTTAATGAAGTTCTAATTAAGCGATACTTGCCAGTCCTGTTGCTACAATTAGATACAGAAACTGAGGAGTTTTCAACAAGCCAAAAAGAAAATATATGTAAAATCAAGAAAAAGGCTTAAAGAATAAAAGGCCTTCAACAGAGGTTACATATAAGCCCCCTAAACGATTCGTCAGTACACAGAGCAAAGCGGTCGGAAAACTGTCCTGGCATCAGTGCCATCCAGATGAGGCAGGCTTCTCTGCAGCACCCCTTCTAGAAACAGTGCCACTCCTAAGAAATTTTAGGATCTAAAGTGAAAATAAATTTTACTTCTTTTAGTTACTATTTTGCTTTACCACACATTAAGTAACGATTTTTATAACAATACATATGTAAATATATTATTTTGAATTAATTCACATACTAATATTCAGTTTACAAAAGACCTAGGAAGAGAAACAGGGCAACAGAAACCGATCACAATTGCTAAAATTTACTGACCTCTTATCACAGGTCAAGTACTACATTAGACGCTTCCCCGGCCTACTCTAATTCACCCTCACAACTGTGGAAGGTAGACAACCTTCACACACAACTCACAACAGTGTCGTTCCTTACACAGACAAGAAACTGGACCGCAGAGAGCTTCAGAACCAGTCCAAAGGCAGACAGCTATTTGCTGCCACCCGAGCCTGTCCTGCTCTAGCGACAAAGGGCTCCAGCACCACCACTCTGCCTCGTCAGCAGAGACGCGTTTGCCAAAGGGCACAAACCATTTCTGCTCCAAACTGTAGCATTTCCTTTCAATCTTAAACGTCCATCCTTCATAAACTTTTTTTAAATCAAGCTTTTTATTTTGAAATAATTACAGGTTCACATGCAATTGTCAGAAGTTAACACAGAGACGCCACGTACCCTTTACTTGGTTTCCCCCAACGGTAACATCTTGTAAAAGCACAGCGTAATGTCACACCCAGGAGACTGCACTGACACAATTAAACTGCAGAACCTGTCCATCCCAAGGGTCCCTCCTGTTGGCCTCTTACAGCCACATCTACTTCCCTCCTGCCCCTCCCTCTCCTCGGACCCTGGCAACACTAATCTGTTCTCTGTTTTCACAATTTTGTCCTTTCAAGAACGTTACACGGATGCTATCACACACTATGAAACTTTGGGGATTGGCATTTTTTACTCAGCGTATTCTATGGAGATTCATACAAGCTGCTATATTTATCAATCGGTTGTTCCTTTTTATTGCTGAGTCCCAGTAAAGCTCTTAAGACACTGATTACTTGAGATTATGACTGTTAACACTTTTATAAATGTAAACACATCAGCTTGAGCTACACATTGAACATCCAACAGAAACTATCTCACTTACACTTTTAGGGGCCTGCTAAATAGATTACACTGAGGTACTAAATTAGTCAACATCATAGGTGGTTGAACTTTCCCAGTTTAACTTACCTTTCTTATGAACGTTTAAAGCTCTAACTAAAGTTTGCACTCTTAAAAAGAAGGCTGTAATGGCACAGTTAAAGTAAGAAGCAGTTTATTTTTGGTCAGTATTAACTGAATTCTTAACCTAACCAGCTTATACGAAAGGTAAATGTCTGTGAAGGTGTTTAAGGAAATAATAACTATAGGTGGTAGCTGCCCCAGAACACGTCTTCGATGGACAGCACAGGAAAAAGTCTAGAAATGTAACAGACCGCTCCAGCTCTCAGTGGCATGTCAGGCTCTCCAAGCGGCGACAGGAGGCGGTGGGCTCAGAGATACCTGTACACACAGGGTTATCCACTTCCTACCAAGCGTGCTCAGCCCGAAACGGACGAGCACACGCACGTGTGCACCTGTACACACATACAGAAAAATGCCAAGCCTTAAGGATTTCACAAGGACTTGTTGGGCAGTGGATAAAATGCACATCTTAGTTCTTGTGCTTTTGTATATAATCTTCAGTTGACTATTTTTAACTCATGAGAAAAAAATCTAAGCTAATTTCTACTCATTTCTTTAGGTCTTGGACTAAACATGGCATCACCCAGAAAGGTTTCCCTGATCACTACTCCC